GCTGACGAAGATTGTTTCTGTTTTATATCTATTGGTTTATTAATGGACCACAGCCTCTTAAACAGATGCATATTCATTAGGTAGCCAGCTGTTCGGAGGTTCCCAGATGTCGAATGTAGCTTTGTCTTAGAATGTGTGTGTGCTTTTCTTTCTTTTTTTTTTTTTTAAAAAGCCCCTTATCATGAAACAAAGTAATTCAGGCCTATTAAAAGAGCTAGTTAATTACTAAACTGGTACCTTATGGCACCCAGTCATTCTTTTGCCCCTTTTTATGATTTGAGTCATAAAAACCCTGGGGACTTATTTAAGAAAGCCATCCAATACTTTAAAATGAAACACTACAGAATTTTAGACTCCTTTGTGTAATTGTATCTACTAGAAGAACTCACCTAAATTGGCAGCTGAGTTGTACATTATGGGCCAAGGTCAGAGATAGCACAGATTCTCAAAACTATGGGGTGGAAGCCTTACCCGCAATAGCCTAGAGAAACAAAAGTAGGCAATTTGCATTCAATCTCTGCTGTTGCCATTGAATATTGGACTTGAAGATTGGGGGGAAATGCAAAGAGAAATTCTAGCATGCCTATGGGAGGTTATGGTACATGCAGGAGCAATATACACGGTACAGGTCTGTGCTGTAACTGGGTGAGAGGTATTCATGGCTCCTTTGTAATTATTTGTTTCATACAGTGAATTTCCCACACATTTGAGCAGTGCTAAGTCCCTTTTCAACAACAACCAAACCTTCAACTTGAATGGGGAAGTAGAAATCCAAGAACTTTGCAGATATAATAGCTGCCATCAGAGGAATTGCTTCCTGCAGCTACAGCTTTGCCCTGCCCCATTCATGGTTTTTATTTCCCCCTCCCAAGCAGGCAACAAATCACTGGTTTGGAGCCAAGATGGCTCAGTCGAAGTGAGGATGTAAGAGCTCTAAAGGATAGAAGGGCCCTAATACCTAGTGGCCAGAAAATCATGGGACTGCAATGTTTCAACATTGCTACATAGCTGGATTCTGTTGCATAAGTAAAACCTTATCACGCAGATATGCAACCAATCATGAGAGTCTCTTTTTAAGAATTACTTGCAATCACAATTTCTTACCTTACGTGGCTGTTTTGCTCCAGCTTTACACAAGCAGTGGCTAAGGGCAGCTTTAATTGGGAATTTTCATTTTCCAGAGCCATTTTTCTACATTGGTGTTTCAAGACATAGCACTTCATTCCATGCATTATTGTCACATAAAGCCTTGTCAGAACTTGTCATAAAGTGACACATAAAATGGCCATGTTTGATACAGACACCAGTGTTTGCCCAGCACAGGTCAGGCTGATCTTCCCTTGTTGGTTTTCTTGTGGAATAGCAGTTCATGGCTCTTGTTCCTTTGGCCAATGGGTGGTGTCAGAAGGATTACAAAATTGTGGGAATGGGAATGAGGGAGGAGTTTCTTCCTGGCAGCTGCTCTCCTCTTCCGTGGAAGGTCCCTCCCACCCACTTGAGAAAAAAAGAATATTCCTGATGCTCATCAGTCTAGTTAGTGAAAAAGTAAAGGAAACACATTTGAACGCTTTTGCATCCCCCCTTCTTTTCCTAAGTGTCAAGAGTATCATATTCTTACCAATTTGACAGCTGAAAATTTATAGCCCAGTTGAATGCCAATTGAGCCCTAAGTCATGTAAGTGGGTTTAGTGGAACTTATTCCCAGGCAAACAGACACAAGATTGCAACCATAATAACTATTGGAATACAAATTAAAATGAGAGAAGAAAAATAGCCTTCCAAAGTAATTTGTAACTAAAAAACAGCAATTTGAGCACATTCCAAATCAAAGCTTTTATTACATTTCATATTATACCTACACACACCTCAATCTGTGTTTCACTGCTTGCAGAATTTCAACTTGCTACTGTGGATAGAAAGTGGGTTTCACTTTTGGGAAAGTAAGATGCAGCTTTGGAGTGAGAACCCAAGAGCCTAGTACACAAGCTATTTCAGGGAAGTGTGACACAACTAGGTGGCTTCTATTGGAACATTGCAGAAAGCTGAAAGGACTATTGCTTTTCCAAATGTTGTTGGGGATCAAATGCAAGTCAAACTTTCTTTAAAACCTCCTCAGACATTTTGTAAATTCCAGAAATGCTATAATATTAAACACAGCCAAGAAGGAGCCTCGTATGGACTTGCAAGTGAACCTGCTACAAAGTAGTGCATTGTGGCAAGGTCCTTTTGACAGTTCTAGCCACCCAGCAACACTATTTTCCAGGATACTTCATTCCATTGCACCTCCCTCTGGTCCCTATTCAAGCAGTCAGCATTTTGTGACCAATGAACAGGTTAAATCCTCATTAAGCAAATTTTTTGTTCCCCAACCCCACTTTTAAAGGTTTTTTTTAACAAACAAAAAAATCTTCTCCTGCAAACATTGAGACCCTTCCATGCCTGCTAATGTTTAGATGGTGCTGTTTGGGCTACATAAGGATCTAGACTCAGAGCGTGAGTCCACTATAGCAGTGGTTTTCAACCAGTGTGCCATGGCCCCCCGGGGTGCCTTGAATGATGGTCAGGGGTGCAGTGGGCAACACTGGCCTCTGTCCCTCTTTCCTTCCCTCCCTCCTCTGATGCCCTCTTGTGTCTCTGCTTCCAAAAGGCTTGCACAGTTGTTTATTGCTGCAGCCCTGGCTATAAGCTCTGAAGGCAAATGGTGCCTCTAGATGGCACCTCTCTTTGAAGTGGGGGCAGCTCAGAAACCAGGGACAGCAGCAGCTACCTGGAGGACTCCCAAGGAGAGAAGAGGCTGAGGGAACACTCCACAAGGGTGTTCAAAAAAGGATGAGAAGTCGCAGGCTGGGGGCAACATAACTGGGCTCCTGAGCCCCTTAGCGTGATGCAGAAAGAAGGTACCGTATTTTTCACTCTGTAAGACGCACCAGACCACAAGACGCACCTAGTTTTTGGAAGAGGAAAACAAGAAAAAAAATATTCTGAATCTCAGAAGCCAGAACAGCAAGAGGGATCGCTGTGCAGTGAAAGCAGCGATCCCTCTTGCTGTTCTGGCTTCTGGGATAGCTGCGCAGCCTGCATTCGCTCCTTAAGACGCACACACATTTCCCCTTACTTTTTAGGAGGGAAAAAGTGAGTCTTATAGAGCAAAAAATACGGTAGTTGGTCAAAGGAGCGATGGACTCAAAAAGATTGAAAACCTCTGCACTATAGGATAACGGTTGCTGCACTGAATACCTAGGTAAGATAAAGTGTCCTGGAATACACATGTCTGGAAACCCAAGACCTGGGAGAATATAAATGGTTTTAAGCGCTGGTTACATTTATTGTTGATATCACCTTGAGTGCAGGATGCCTGCTTACATTATGCAAAAACTTCATTGATAAATCCCTCCTGCCCTCCTCCTCTCCACCAGAAGTGTCAAGCTCCTCTTTGCTGATGGATCGAGATGAAACAGATGCTGCCATAAATACTCTTGTTTAGTGGTTTCAGATGCAGTTTCTGTTTTGTAGAACACACTGAGTGCTCAGGTTATCAGCAAGCGTGCACCTGTGCCGTTTATGCCTTTGCTAGTCCTAGTGTTCTGCGATGGCATAGTAAATTCATTCCGAAGGATAGCCTTACAAAAAGACCCAAGCATACTGCTCAAGTTGCATACAACATGATCATCTATTTTGGGTGGAAACTTACATACCAAGTACCTGATGAATGTGGGCCCTGTTGCCTTCTTCGTACAATCTTTTCTTATTTTTTACCTGCAAGTCCCATGACATCCCAATGTGAGCCTCTGAAGGTTGCTTTGCAACTATCTGCCATTTCTTTTTCCTCTGAGCAATTGTTTATTTTTGGGCAATTTGTGAGATCTGCACACCAAGGTGAATACTCTTGATACTACCATCCATGGTGGTTGACTGAACGTAACACAATTATGTAGAGAAGCAAGCTTTAGGAGTATCCACTTTTATGGCTGTCCCTTTTCTTGAAAGTTTGACAATACATTTTTCACAAGCAAACACAAGTTACCGTATGCCCTAGCACTTTGTGGCCAGGTTTAAAAGGCACAGGTTTTCAATGTTTTTTATGCCTGCTTTGAATGTGTCACTGTTACTGCCTGGACCCCTTTGGAAAGCAATAGGATTCAATCCCAGCGCAGAACTACTACCAAAATACTTGAAGAGTTTCACAACATTTCCTAAAGAAGTAAATCTAGTCCAGTTTCAACACTACTTTGTTCCAACTTGCTTTTTGAAGCATTCTTTTAAAGCCTGAAGAGGCACATCCCAGCCTTTCACTGCATTGTATTGAGAATACATTATTGGATTTTGGTGCCTTGACATCGTAACAGTAGAACAAGGTTTTTAAAAACAGGTTTGACAACTTCTCCGTTCCCCCCGAAAACCGCTTTGCTCCCACCTCCTGCAGTTTTGTAGGTTCATTTTTATTTTATTTTTAGTTTTTTTTTTGTTTTTTTTTTTTTTGCTTCTCAACATCTGTCACAAGACAAACTTATGAAGACAATTCCCACAAAAAGTTCAAGGGTTTCAAAACTGGAGCTGAAGAGAAGGCGATCTGTCCCGCACAGCCAGTAAAGCTTGTCTTGATTACTTTGATGTAACAACACTTGAAAGCTCTATTCTTTGAAACTAATTTAAACACATTGAATTGTTGAAAGATTAAAAACCGCAGTCAGCTAATTACACTCACTCTCATCTCTTATTCAGCAAATGAATCACTTTTCATTACCACTTAGCTGAAGTACATGAATTTCTGCCTAATTAGAAATGTTGTAGATGGAGCATTAGCAAGGCTGGAGTGGGTCAAGATATCTGCGCTGCTTCATTTTTAATTCCTAACAGTAGAGTCAGATAGGGAAGGCGGGAGATAAAAAGTCATTAAACAATTTTAAATTATTTATAAAAATTACTTTGCCCAAATTATAATTATTTCTCCCCCCCCAACTGCTCTCATGAAATGTCAAATGGAATGAAAGGAGAAGCAGCCCCAACATTGTTTTTAATGAACACTTTAATGTTATGTATAACAGAACATTATGAATACAATGGAAATAAAGTTTTATCAATTTAATAATAATAAAAAATATCCAACATAAGAAAGGGGAGCCAATAAAGTTTCATACCTAGAATATAGTACTCATTCTCAGTAGCAGCCCTGGCTCTGTGAATATAAACTGAACCTCTGCATCCCAGACTAAAAATCATGATCTGTGTTTGAACCTAAATGCAGAATCATAGCAGGAAAAGAAAAAGCCTTTAATTTATTCTTTCATTTCCTTTACTTTCATTAATTCATAAAATCTGACTGCTACAGGTTTCCTTTAATAATAATAATAATAATCTATATATTTATTCATTTATATATATTTATTTAATCCCTTTCTACTGGATTCCGCAATTGCTAAGGCCATATTTACATAAAACAAGTGAAGTCACCAAATGTATAAAATTTAGAATCCAATGCTGTTGGATTAACAAAAAGTTTAGAGGTGTTCTTTCTTAATTTAAAGATGCTGTTTCTCTTTTTTTGTGTTGCAAGAAAAAAAATATTCTTGCATTTTGACTGTCAGTGATGTAAACAGTGACCCCAGAGATCCCAAGGGGGGCTGCCACTTTTCACTGGAGTATGGCTGCAGAAAAACCACCCAAACCAAAACCCAACCATATATATATATATTCTCTAGAGTTCTCTGAAAGGAAACCATACAGCAGTCTGAATGAAGTTTCTACCAGTTCTGCATTGCGTATTAAAGCAGAAAGAGGTAGGAAAACCCCACCCGTCCCACCCTATTCATCAGCAAATTGCTTAAAGAGGTCTATAATAAAAATTTGGATAGTATAGCAGTGTTGCTGGAAGAGTAGCAAAAGTATATATACATTCCAGGTCCCTTTGAATTAGCCATAATCACATATGTAAGCTGTTTTATTTTTTTTGGACAAAAATATATATATATTCTTATAAAAAATTGATCAGCATACTTTGACTTCAAATTTGACTCAGTGGTAGGAAAAGGAACGGATCCAATTATGATAAATAGATTCCAGGAGGGGAAAAAAGAAATCAAGTATAAAATTAGATTCACACAGATATACCCAGCCCCCAAATTCCAGAGTTTCCACAAGTTTCAAAGTTAAAACTGGTTCTGCCATCTAAGAAAGGCTTTTAATTCTCTTGTTAAAAAACAAGGCCTAGTGATTGCAATATCAACCATATCACTCGGTGGAGGACGTTTTCTTCACCAAAACTTGAACAAAAGTAGGTTGGGAGTTTACAAAATGACCTTTGGGTTCTTTAGATGGGCTCCTTTAAAGTAAGCAATAAAAGAAAAAGAGAAAGCATTTGATCAGCATTTTCAACCCTTATCCCAGCTTTATTTGTGCAGCTAAAATCCTTCATTCAATCTGATTGGTTTACAATCTTTATTTGCTAAAATTTGCAAAATTTGCAAAGGCATCTTGCTTAGGTTGCACAGTTCCGGGAGTCATGGAGGATGCCACAGCTATATTAGTAATGCCCATGCCCGACAAACCCATTCCAGAAGTTGGCATTGCCATGTTCACATTCATTCCCATCATGCCCTGGTTCATCATAGGTGTGCCTCCCATGGAAGCCATCCCGATCGTGCCAGTCATCACAGTGGGCATTCCCATTCCCACAGGAACAGGCCCGCCCATCAATGGGTTTGCAGGAGGTCGAGCAGGCATCATGCTGGGTGGTGAGTTGAGGCTCATGGTTGCAAAATTCTGAGACATCACATTCATCGGTTGTTGCATATCTGCAGGGAGGAAAGGAAGTTTTAAATGTTAAGGTGATTTTTTATGATATTTCTATCATTCAAAGAAAATGCAAGTATATTCCCACCCCACCCTTATTTAACGTATTGGCTGTATATTAAAAACAAAGCTGATCCTTAAAGGCATCATCCAACATATTTCTATATGCCTGACAACTGAAGTCCAGCACAAATCCTAGTTGTCATAGTTCCACTTCCTCCAATTCTCTTCTTTCTCCATGGCCAAACCATGTTTCGTCTAGATACCCACTTATTTATTATGCTCAGGGATCCACAAATATAGTGTATTCCCTCTACATTAGATCTTTTTAAGCACAACTTTGCTAGTACCTGGTTCAGAAACTGGGGGAAAGGGAGAAGGAAATGAAAATTCTGTTGAACAAGAATCCCCTTTCACTGCTTGGGGGCTGACAGTTCAAGAGTTTGGGAGGAGACACCACAAAAAGCTTTTAAGGCTGCACTATATCATTAGATCAGGGTGAGGAAAATTCAAAGCACAAGAAGGCCAATATAGTTTGTGATCCATCAAGCTGAAAACGGTTGGCTCACCAGCCACATGCTCTCTGGGATTGCAAAAACAAAAGGCAGAACCCAATGAATGGCTGGTCAATCAAAAGTTGTGCATATTCAAGCAAGATAGTTTTTAAATAGTAGAAGGCTACGAAGCTGCAGATAATATACTCTGGTCACGAAAAAGAGAGAATTTATAGGTCTAGTGTTCTGGGTTTTTTTTAACACCCACCCACCCACACTTTGATCAAGAATATATTGTGAGGAGTGACCTCATTGAAATACATGCACAGCAAGAATTGTATTACTTACTTTGTTGCTGAATCATTGTGTTGAGTGATGGTTGCTGGGGCTTGGAAGGCTGCATACCAGGAACTAAATTGTCCAAACTGATATTTACACTAGGGTCTGACCAAGTGGATGGCAGGGTTTTGCCTACATTTTTGGGGACCATCTCTGTGCCCATATTATAAAGTGGATTAGGCTTCTGTATCATTGGGTTAACACCGTGCAAAGGCTAGAAGCATTAAAGAAAGAAAAAAAAGAGATCTTTAGAGTTATGGTACGAATTGCCAAACAGTATTTTACAGCTATAATTTATCAGAGAGAGGAGTTCATCCAGTCTTCATAAAGAGAAACAGATGGACATTTATGTTCTCCTAAGAGAACTGAAGAAAGTTGAAGTTCATGCTCATAAAATTCTCAAGAGCATCTCTTTAAGTACTTTACCTATCATCTGGTAGTCTTCTGGAACTGTGCCAAGAGTGGTAATTCAGAAGTGCCTTGCTCCCCCCCTTACCTAAAAATACTTTCTCTGAACCATCCTTCTATTTTAGATGCTTTGGAAAATTAGTTTTCTTCTTCTTACATTTACAGTATATTCCTCCTTTCTTCCATCATGGAACCCACACAAGTAATTTCCATGAGGTCTTGCACTGACCAGACCCTGACTTGCTTAATTTCAGTAGGTTAGTGGCCTCATGTGACTTCAGACCATACCTGATCAACTAGTTGCTAAGTTTCCCAAGTCCAAAGACTTGTTTTCAATAGTCAACTACTCTCAAACTGGGTAAAACTATATGTGAGCCAGTTTGTCAGAAACAGGTGGCACTCCCCACCCTCATCCCCCTTGCTACAATCAAAGTGTCACAAGTTTGAAGTCTTCCTTATGTTCTAAACTCTTAGATTGCTTTAGATGTTTCCTCTTTCAATTTATTTAAATCTTGAAGAAAAGAGGGGCCAGTGAAGCAAAAAGGCAAGAAAACACTTTCAGAGCCACAGAAAAGATGCTTTAAGTTAAGCGTGTGTCAAAACTATCCGTTGAGTAAACAGTAGTCAAGGGACTGCAGAACAGCACCATACCTGTGACCTTGACATAGGTAGATTGATGCTGACAGTGCTGGAACCCATCATAGATAAATTCATGCTTTGGGAAGAGGTCATGGTGGCTTGGGAGGTACCCATCAAATCAAAGAGGTCAGAAGGATTTGAAGCAGCTGGAGGCTGGCCAAGGCTCTGCTGAGCAGAGCCACCAAAGAGCTCAACAGCTGGCTGAGCAGAGCCACCAAAGAGCTCTCCAGCTGAAGCAGCAGGGCTTGGAGAGGTTTGGTTGAAGGCACTCCAGTCGCCAAACTCTCCATTCCCACTTGCAGTTGTACCTGGGGAGGGAAAAGAAAGGTAAGAGTCTTTATGAAAAGCACAGAGCAAATGCCACATTCCATGAAGTGAAACAAATGAGAGCCGATGTATGTCCATCCAGATTAACATCTGCAGGTAGGATCTCCATCTGGACATTACTCTCCCTCATGAATATTCCAACAATTTTAACAGGATAGCAAGGGAGGAGACACACATAAGAATGAAACAGCCAAACCAGTGCTAAAGTATGGCTGGTTATGTGCCACCTGTGGAGTCCACATGAGTGGGACATAGATTTCCTAACAGGCAAATCTGCAGGATCCACTTTCAACACATAAGAATGTGGCAGGCATAAGAGACACCTGACGCACAGCAGAAGTTCAGTATCTAAACTGCCAGTGGCTCAAAATTGGGAGCCTTAAGCAAAGCTGCAAACATTAACTCATTGATGTTTTGAATCAATCACTGTGAACAAGGCTGGTCTCACAGTCGTAAGAAGTCATAAAAACAGCAATTTGTTCAAACTCATCTGATTACATATACATTACTTGCTGTATAGAGTTATTAAACCGGTACAGCTAAGTGGGATACCAATAAAATAATGGGCTTTCAAATTCAGTTGCCTCAGGGTGTTTATCTCACCTCTGTTGTGCTTGTTAACAGCATTGTGTAGTATTTATTTAGCGCTCTATGGGAGCTTTGATAAATATGCATTCAAAGCTCACACACGCTCTCAAATCTTTGTACAGCATGTGCATAGAGAGCTGCAAGACATTTAGTTCTTTTAACAGCAGTCTGCCTGTCTTTACCTATTTTAAAAATACACATTTTACTGGAATAAACTTGTGAGTGAAGCTCCAAGATGTAAAGATCACGAGGAAATAGATGTTTGGTTTTTAAAGCGAATGAGCCTTTGGTATGATTATCAATTGCTAGCCACTGATGAGTATTTCAGTTTTGAAGCACAACAGTTACGTAGATCTTACTATTGTAGCCTGATGCACAGACAAAGGCACATAGGGGCACACATGCCAGCACTGGTTTTCATACAGTTGAACAACTTGCAATTTACATTTAACTGTTAGGCCTCATCAGTGCAGACAGAAAAGAAAGCATTCAAAATTTTAAATCAATGTTCACCTGACAGGTCTGAGAGACGAGAGACCCTGCTGATTTCAGAATAATCTGGTCTGTACAGCCAGCTAGGAATTAGTGATCTACAAACCTGCCTATTACTTAGAATCTAACTCACCTAATCTTAAAAAGGTTGCAATAATTTACATTCCATGTCAATAATTCGTAATAGTACCTGTTCGCCTGGGTATAAAACCCTTGTTTTAATTAATTTCTCCTCCACAGGTGGATTAAAATTTAAGTAAGGAAGGGCAGGGAGGGAAAAGTACATCCGTCGCTTATCTGTGCACCACAATCCACTTTAACGCAAGTGCTGGGCTAGAATTCATTAGCTTGGGGCCACAATGAAACATTTTGCTTTGATCTCCCTTACAAAAGGGACTTTATTGGGAATATTTCAATTAGTACTGCCTATTAAAAATTTAAGCACACTTACAAGTATTCCTGATGGATAAGTAAATGCTGATTCTCCAGTTACGGGATGCTCATATCCAAACACAAATAAAGGAAAGGGGGAGAAGATGAGAGGCATTTGATGCCACTCTTCGGGGAACTTTACCAAAGATGATTAATCAACAAAAGATTTCTGGGGGGGCTTTACTGCTCAAGAATGATTAATCATTGCTGGCTGCTTGCATAAAGGTGATTGGTGGAGATTAAGCATATTAACACTGATAAAGGAGTATTATCAAGCTTAGACAGCATTATTAGCATAATAGGATTTGAGCACCACAAACCTAAATTTTCAATAACCTGTAAAATCAAGGCAGAACATTATTAAAGCTTAAAGTATTTAAGGGCACAGTTCTCAAGTCAAATCCTATCCCTCAATACAATGCGTTTTATCACTGATGGCTGCAAGAAACACCACACCTTCTTCTATGCAATATGCTTTGTGGTAGAACAATTGTTTCAGCTACTGCTTGGTTCAAAACTCTTTGAACAATCCCAGCTCTGTTGACCAGCTATCTTTCCTCAGTAATAAAACATTAATTCATTGGGTCTTTTAAAAAGTAATTTGGGTAACAGCAATTATTATAGCAGTGTGGCAAGAATACAACAAAAGACAGTAATTTAGGGCCAATCATAACATTTGTATAAGCCTCCTCACCCCTACAAGGGGCTCTTACTGTGAAGTTTTCATGTTTTTTTCTCCCCAGTGGACAATTTTTCGTTTGTGTGGAACTTAAATAAATCAGTACAAACAAATTAACAGTCCTCTCCCTGGACATGCAGCAATCCTGCCTTATGCACAGCATCTACTGTCAAATTCTAAATGTTTCTTGGGTCAATTCTAGCCTTCTTCCATGAGAGTACTTTAATATAAAATGTGGACTTGTAGAATGCAATTCTTAAGAGGCTTATTGCAGATTACATAAAAGGTTACCATTACAGGTGAAAGGGGATGGAGTACACAACATACTATACTATAGCAATAGCTACTACTCAGTATTAATTAATTGGAATTCATTGTTGGTACCTGTGAAAATCATTCCAGCCCAGTATTTCAGTTAGCTTCAATTAATGTTAAAGGTGTTTGTGAGGGGAGACAAAGTAATGATCATTACTGCTGTATTAATTCATTTAAATTCATTTTGGTGCTTGTAATAATAATTCCAGGGCAATTATTTCATTTGTGTGCGTGTGCGCATCCTCTCTGCTGGGGGTGTGCATATGTATGCTGCTCATCCCCCTCCTTCACCTGGGTGGATTTTGCAACTGTGTGTGTCCAAGTGCACATGATATATGCAATCCTCAAAGGTGTAGCAAACCCTTGATGTGGCCCTTGAGCTGGAAAAGGTAAGACACCCCTGGGCGAAGGGTCAAAGGAAAAGCTCATTCCCCAAATAATTAATCCCTCTACCCCGAATAGAGAATAAGTCATAATAAAATGAAACTGCATCACAATACAAAGCGGCAGAATCTAGCACCTTTAAAACGAGAACTCGACATAGAATTTAATCTATTCTGGAAGAGAAGACGCTTTCAAGTAGCAGGAGACCAAAATTTGAGAGGTCAGCTTTCTGTTCCACTCCCTTGGCACTGTACCTTGTGATGGCGGGCAGCCTGCTGAGGCAGAGGCGGTGGCGGCAGCAGAGCTAAAGTCCGCAAACCCTCCGAAGGGGTCAGTGGCTCCACCTACAACCAATCAAAGGACTTGTTGTAAATTAGTGAACACAGCCCCACTCCAGTAGCAGTTCACATCAAATATTAAATTTTATTTTTAAATATCTTGTACGTGGAGTCAAGATACACAGTTCTGGGAAACGGTTCAATCCATCAAGCATATTGAAGCTCAAAGTACTTAAGGGCACAGTTCTCAAGTCAAATTCTATCCCTCAATACAAGATATTTTACCACTGATGGCTGTTATACAAGGATGGTTGTCATGGTACAAAAACTGAAATATGTGGAAATCCTGCAAATCGGGCTGCAGGAACAAAACCTGGGTGTGTATGCAATCGTACTCTTGTGCTTTCCTTTGACTAGTTTGTGGGGAGTTTCCACGCTCGGTTTTTTCACTATTCTGGCATGCACAAGCATGGAAGAGAGCACCACGAACGATCATGCGTTAAATGAAGATTGATTCAGAAGGGTGATAGTCCAATCAAAACAAAATGTCACAAGGCATATACATGGCTGAAGTCTTTCTTTCCTTCTTTTTTGTACACAAACAAACCTGTCAAATCGAATTATGCCTGCTTTTATGGTTCAGTTATATCCCACCACTTGTACATCAATACAAGTGGTCTATATTCTACTTCATAATTTCAGTAATAATTTACCAAGGTTGCATGGAACGCAAAACTGGTGAAGAACCAGTGTAGGCTTGGAAGAAATATCACACAGTAAAGATTAATGCAATTCTAACTCAGGTACTAGATATAAGAAACAGAACAAGTCTTTTATTGGAGAAATGCCTTTGTTTGCTTATTATGCTGCATAGAATGAAAAATTTAAAAAGGCCTCCTTACATGTTAAATCTTGTGAGACTGAAAGCAGGAATGACTTGCACAGGGTTTCAGATTCAAGGTTTTAATGCATAAAACCTGCACTGGTATTCATTTTTTAATAAGGTTGCTTTCTTTTCAGAATAAGAACATTGAAAGTCCCAGTTGTAGATACTAATGATTTATTTACTACAAAATATAGTATCTTTACTATTCTTTCCTACACATTTTTTATCAAAATAGTAAAGATTCACAGCCTCTGCACTGGTCATTGTTCTGTACATCTCCTTATGTCAAGTTTGAGGGCCAAACTAAATAGGATGATTGCCACAGGTGGGGATGTCTGAGCAGGAATGGGAATGCTGTACACAAGGAGGGCTTCATTTAATCAGAAATGCTACAGTTCCTCCCAAGCTATTAGCCCTAAAAGGAAAGCCCCCATTCAAATTTTAAAAATTGTGGACATTAATTGGCCCTCTGAGAGAAATACATACAAAAAATAGGCACTTTCTGCAGATATATATATTTTCTGTGAAGGAAAATGTTTGGGTGAAGCAACCTTCTGCCACCATATCTTTAATAAAGGGCTTAAGGCTTCTAGTTGGCAGTTTCCTCCTCTGAAAGTACCGAAAAAGTGATGGCCTTAGCTGTTGCCGTTTGTCCTTAAAAGATTTCACCTCTGAGCAGTCACACCCTTCCAAGGAGTACCAGCAGCTCAATTATTCTGCTTTTAGTGTTTGCGTACATTATATGGGTTACATCACAGCTGCTTAGCCTGCAGTGCTTAGAAACTAGCCAGGTGGGACTGTAACATCTGTGTTGCACTCAAACACCACCAGGGACAGCTTCCAACATCTGGTGCCATTTCTGAATTGTCTTATCGCTGCAAGACATTCTGCTCCATCTGCTGCTCTCAACTCGGTTAATTAAACTAGAACCATCGCCTTTTTAATAAATGGCTGGCAGTAATAAAAGGAACAATTCCCTTTCTAATACATGTGTACTTGTATTTCTTTTTAATGCTATTTTATTTTAGTCAATTATTAGGAAGTCATACTTCATTTTCAGATAGGAGCATCTCCCTCCAGAATGCACACGGATATGTTATCCAATAGGAGAAATTAACAACTGCAGTAACAAGACCCTCCTAAAGTCTTATAATAGGTGAATTATGTTGTAGAGCATATCCAAAAGACAGACAGATTGGGCATTTACCAGTATAGATCTTAAATCATTATGGGAAACTGTGATGGAGTTTTATGCAAAGATAAGCATCACTTTTATCTAAGCAGCTTAATGAGGTACAATACATTTGCGCTATCCAGAAGATGGAAACAAACAGTATTTACATAGCATTGCATGGCATATGCAACCACGTGCACATGTCTTGTCCGTAAACACTAGCATACTTAAATGATTACAAATTTCAAGACCATGTTTATTTGAACTAGCAGTGCTAATTTAGACAATACAGGTAAATGATACCAGTCAATTTAAAAATAACAATAGTATGGCAAATGCTTAAGCCAGTTAAAAATCAGGTGAAATCATTTGGGATTAATCTGCTTCTGCACATATTTTGGTGGTCCCATGCTCTATCTAGTTGCTTCCTCAGAAAACACAGAACGTTTCTTCAAAGCTAACAGCAAGTTTATGAAGATGGTTACTTAGGATGCAGTGCCAGCACAGCCACCTGGTGTTGCTAGTCGTGCAACAGGGTGAGCTAACAGCTACCATTTCCATATGAAGCACTCCACGAAGCTGTTCCATTTTCTTTTTCTATCCTTATTAAATGATAGAGATTTGTATTAGGCATTGCTCAAAGTATTTAGTCCCCTTCTTGGGGAAAAAATGCTTCCCACTGTCTTGGTGTGGACTAGTTGCTTGGCAAGCACCTCCACAAAAACATGAGATTTCCATGCCCCTATCTTTACAAAAGAGATCAATGCCTATTGTGGCCCCTTTTGCTATTTTGTGCGTGGCACAAGCTAATGGAGCCATGCTCTTTACAGCAAGTAGCACACGGGTTAGGGAAAGTGACCTCCTTAGGAAGGACAGTGCTAATCTTCACAACATCATTAGCTAGCCTCAAAGACTCCCAAGTGAGAGCTGTCGTTATAAATTAACTCCTTCCATCTGTCTCCTTAGGGCAGCAGAAGATGCTATTTGTGGTGGCCAGCTGGTAATGTGTCTCATCTCTAGGACATCTTCTAAATGCTGATGTGGAAAGAGCGGGTAAGCTTAACTTCCACTAAAGGAGTGAAAACAGAATAATTGGCAGTCAAATGGCAAATCCAGAAAAGATTTCTCAAAAGAAAGATGAGCATGTTCTGCTCTCACAGCAACAGTCGATCAGGGTTTTTCCAGATAGGGATTTAAATTAATAGTTGAGCACTCCTTCAAATTATGAGATACTGGCTGCGGCTGAGATCCAAAGAGCTCCATACACAACTGGAAAACTGCTTGAGGGTGGGGGCATATTCAAGTCACACTGAATCCTACCCCATAAATCCTTTGACTTTCAGGAGATACTTTTTAGGAAGTTGTAAGGGAGTGCAATAAAAACAGGAACTTGAAAACCCCAACCTATTTGCCTCTTGGGATTCTCAATCTATTTAAGTTGTTGCATCAACTTTAGATTTGTGGAGAACAAGGGGAATATCAGCATTATTCATAATAGATGATCTACCTGTAGATAACTGGAATGAGAGTACAACATTTTGTTATATCCAGACATGTTTCAAGTGTTGTAAGAAATGCTCCTCTCTCTGTATTTATTTGTAAGACTAAATATATGTGTACACCTGCTGTTGTCAATATTATGAGGAGGACTGAACAATCTGTCCATTAATACTCCATTTACGTATGAGGCGGTGGGAAAGGCAGGTAATACAGCAAGATCAAATACAGTGCTGAGCTGCATAGGAGCCACTCAGATTAAAGTGTTTCCCACACAGCTGCAGGTGTGTCTAGAACCCTAACCCATCATTTTCTATAGCCACAGGGATGGCTCTGTGCCTTTAAGATTAGCAGGACTTCAGTGAGTGCTTCAAATCAGTGGGAGCCCATGGTAGTAGAGAGGTATGGGTCATGTATGCAATGGCTCTTGCTACAAAGCTTAACAGAAACACACAGTTTCAGTGAACCATAAAGGAAAAATATTGTATTCCAAATATTCTATCACTGCAGAATACTCCATATGCCAAAAAAGAAGCAATGTCTGTCTACACTGTGTTATGATCAGGTTTTAAAGGAAACTATGAAACCAGATGGTAGAGAAAAACACAATTAAAGCTAAAAGTAGAATGTTTCTAAGAAGACTGAGATCAAGAACTTAAAAATGTTGACACCATTCCTGCATGAAAACACAACTTTAGGAAAGTGGAAGGACTGAGCACTGTTCATGTATGTTAAAAACCCAGTAAAAAAATAACGGTAGACAAACTGAAGAGATATTTGCTGGGGAAGGAAATCTCAATGCCTACTAACAAAGACCCAGCAAAGAGACTCCTTAAGTTTCAATACAATCACCAGAAACTTTTATTGCCCTAGCCCAAGACCATGGCCTCATCCAAAAAACAGTCTAGATATGTGTATTTCTTAATATGGACAGCTTCCAGTCACGTTTGTTGCAATTTAAAATACACCTACTCACAAGAATTCAGAATCCAAAATCATACTAAGTACAAGGATATAATGTCGACTCTCATTCTCCAGTATACTGACAGGAGAAGAATTCTTGTGCCTCTGCAAAGTTTTCAAGCTGCTGCTTGCATTTTCTAAGGAACCCTTCAAAAGCAGGGACTGGCAGGGGGCAAAAGGATAAAGCTTAATAGCTGTGGCCTAAAGTCTTGCTTATGAGAAGATAATTTCATGTTATTATCACTATGTAATTAATATACACAGGACAAAATAATAATAAAATAGTAGTAATCCTGGGGGCAAAAAAATGATTGCAACTGTTTGAAATGTTGCTTGGGTTTAATACATAGTAGAAGTTCCAGATTTAGCCAATCATTAGCCAATCATGTATATACTTGCTGCACCCAGAGAAGCATTCACACTAAGATGTTTGTGCAAGGCTCACCAAAGGTCGCCGAAACGCCAGCTGTTTGTGGGTCATGGGATCTGTTTGCACAAGGTGCTTCAATTTCATTTAATCCCTCCCTCCCTTATTATCCCACACTGTTCCAGAGCACCCCCTGTCCCACTGGAGCATCTTTTTAGTGGATGCAGGGGGCTGCTGTTGGAAGAAGAAGATGGCATGAAAGTCTTCTTGCGGAAGCACTTCTATGGAACCAGCCCCATGTTGAAAATTTGTATAGGAGTAACCAATTCTGGCAGAATCATGACAGTTCACAAAGCCCAAAAGTACAGCCACACCTTTTCAGAAGCTCATGGTATTGTAAATAGGGGATGAAAAGGGGTGGAAAATAATCTTTCCACTAACAACGTTAATGCTGTGTGCTGAATCTGTTGAGAAATTCTTCCTTCAAGAGAAAACATTGTTTCAGTTACACAGCTCTTAATCCTCTTCTTAATTTGCTCACAGGTAATGTGGATTCTAAAACTGCAGCTATCAACATCCAGCCACCTAATATAAGATTGATGATTCTACAATCATGCCAGCAGAGCAGTGAAGGTATGTAAATAGAACCATCTTAATATTTTATGCCAGCCAGAGACAATCTTCCTTACTTTGTCCTGATATGGCTATTCATTGTTTTTTTTAAATATACCAAACATGCACTCCATTATAGAAAGCAACATTTACTTTACTGAACCTCAGGTTCTCTAGTTGCCTACAATGGAGTGAATGAATTGAACACTTTTGAAGTGACCAAGAAACATAGTTATTTCTGAGGTCACCCAGGAGTCAATGGACAGGAAACAAAAATAAGAAGTAATAAGGTCACTTTTGCTGTACACATTAGATGTGACTTGTAAGTCAGCTACTCTCACCATTGCCTCTCTCTCCATGTGTAACACGAGAAGTGTTGAAATCTGACTGGATTACATGCTTTTAAAATTAATTATGAATAACATTGCATTTCAGCCACCAGAGTTCCTGACAAACTGACTTAGCTGTGAATCTTTCTAAGGTGCTATGGTTATTATTAATCTATACAATATGGTAATTTGCATGTGGTTCTATGAATAAATATGCAGCTCTACATTTAACTGACTGATACAGTTTCCCTTAGCTTCCTAATGCACACCTAAAATGTACTAGACTCAAAGCTACAGCTACTGCTCAAACAGAACACAGAAATACATTTTACCTGTTGGGACTGATTGATCAGTACCATCGAACAAAAGATCGACCAGGTCACCGGATGACTTGCTGCCAGGAACCTAAGGACAAGCACAATTGAACTGTTTTAAGAAATATGGTTATGAATATGCAAAGGTGTGTGTGTGTGTGTGTGTGTGTGTGTGTGTGTGTTTTAGGGCATCTTAGTGAGGACTGTTTGGGGCAAGAAATTGGAAAACTGGAGTAACAGAGAGAAAAATAGATCTGTGTAGCACTTATGATAGCCTGCATCAAACATTGGTTGTTATTGGAAATCAACTTATATTAAGAGCATTACAAAACTGAAGAATATAAAGGAAGTTATTATTGTGCAACTTGATAACAAGGATTCTAAGCTGTTTCCTCCCATCAGACAATGTGAGAAAAATATTTTTAGAAAACACACCCATTCCATATAACTATTAAACATAGCAAAGGCTGAACCATTTCTTAAAATACTTCCCACCTTTATAGTTTTGCTAACGTGCCTTAAAATTTCATTTTGAGACATTCAAAATACTAGAAACATCATTTGGTCAATTGTAAGCTGCCTAGAGTTTTAAAGCTTGATATCTTTCTGCTTATAACTAAATTTGTATAGCCTTCTTTGTGCTTTACAATAGTTTTTAATCCTCTGGTTATTACTGCCTTACCTCTGGGATTATTCCAATTAAAATGAAAGGCTGATATTAAGAGTGTGATGTCTAAAGGCACCAAAGAAATTCAGAGTTGACTTTGAGATTTGAACTCAGCATCCCAAACATGAATATATTTAATTGGAAGTAACTTCTTCATTTCCTGAAGTAATTACTTCCAAGCAACTATGGTTAAAAACAGCACCCAACCCCAAGTAGGCCCATCTTCTTTTTGGGGGAAATTGGAATAAAGTGACTGTTATACCAAAGGTGGAAGGTATATTTTAGGTTCTGCTTCTTTGATAAAATTAGCAAAATGCTAGGTACCAGAATACTAAAAGCATAATTTAAGAAATTTCTGTCACAAAGTAGAGGTAGTGTGATTTCTTCTTCTGCTACAAGGAAGGAAATGTATTTACCAACACAATCTATGCATTAAAAATCACAATATTATCTTGTTGCATGGGTGCACTTTATCATTTATGACTAAATCCTAGATTTTTGTACACATTCACAAAGGATGGCAATGGATGAAAAGTTGCTTTTCCTGGAGCACCATGTAATTTTAATAGACTATAAACCTTGGCACAAAGACAAGTACATCTATGGTAAACTCTATGCACCTGGGGGTTTCTAGAAAACTTGCTCATTACAACATTAGCGATTATGTAGACACAGGGTTCACTTTAATTTGCTTTTAAGAAGTTCCCTGCAGTACACTTGTTGAAGACTCTCACTCTTGGGCGGATGGGGAAAATAATTGGAAGCAAAAAAAAATTCCAGGATAACAAGAGGGGAAGAATGCAATATCAAACTTAAGGTTGCAATCCAATACACACCTGCCTAGGAAATAGCAACCATTCTCAGCCAACATGTATAGGACTGCACTGTAAATGCACCTGTGGATTTAATGAGGTCTGGGAGCACTGGAGAACAAGATTTGTCCCATCTAAGCAGCAAGCATGTGCAGCAGATTCTGAACTTGGGGCGCAACTGAAACATGACACTTGGAGAAGGCGAACTTACCTATGCTGCAGTGCACCAACATCTTTTTGATCCTGGGCCCCCAGCCACTACACATGCAGTAACTAGCACACAGGCACAGTGTCTGCCCAGGCTAAAGACATGAGGCATACAAACAGTGCACAAACAGGCAAACAGATCCAGTTTAAAGCACAACCTCTAGATATGTGCAACCCTACATGGTTAGGTTCTTCTTCCTTGCCCTATGCCAAATATAAATTGGTAGCAAAGTACATGTCTGGGTATGGCCTTAAAGGACAGGGCAGACCCAGAATTAAACATTTTAGCATATAGTAATACAGTGGGCTGGCCACGTATGCAAGGGTTCAGTTATGGAGGTCCTCCTACAAAGGCAAAATTGCATAAAATCAGGAACCCCCAGAGCCCCAACCCCCGCAATCACTCCTACCTCTCCAAAACAGACCTTGCTTACTGGGCTCTGAGAAGGTCATTAAAGGGCCCCGACATGCTCCCAGAGCTCTCAGGCCTCTTTTCCAAAGCCCAATAAGCAAGGCAGAGGGCTTAAAAAACTCTGTTTATTTAAAACATTTGTACCCACACAGTTGCTTCTAACAGAACAAAATACAAATAAAAAAAATCAACTACACAAATTAAATAGAACTTTCATTTCTAGATCACACATTTTTCATGTCTTTTTGTTCGAATGTTTAAGCTTTCCCTCTTCTTAAAGTGAAATTCTTATACAAAGATCCTTGCCTTTTCTGAGGGCATCTTCAAAATAAGTTATTGAACAGAGATACTTTGGGCACACTAGATGCATACATTAACTGCAGACAATTTAGATATAAAGGATCTGCTTGCTGGTGGATCAGTGCACTACCATATGGTCTTTAATTTAGGGAATACTTAAAATTTGTACCATCTGATTATAGCTTCACTAAGTTTAACCATCAGAGCTGTCAAACTGCTGTTTTTACAATTGGGCTAATTTAAATAGTTACAGTGGAAAGGGAACACTATAGCTTTTCTTCATTGTTTCCTGACTTCCTTCCTAAGTAGCATCACTTTAAGCACAGACTTGGCAGTGCCAGAAAAGTAATATGCATCCTCTTTGCCTCCATCTATGTGGGCAAGAAAAACCCCCACTGCATTACGGCAGAAGTAAAACATGCTATCACATTATGCTCTTAGTGTACTTACCTATGTAATATAGATACAATCTCTAGTATTCTAGCTTCCCTGAGGCTGACATGGGAGTTTTTAAAACTGCCCATCTGTTCACTTCATGTCTTCAATCTCCCTGCAATTTTGAGCTTGACAAATTCCATCAAATAATGACTTCTGATTCCCCTGGTCTTCAGACATTAAGTGATCCTTCCACTCCCTGAGAATGCTTGCAAAGGTGTGGCAACAGATTTTATCTCATTTCTCCACTTTATAACAAATAAAAACTTCCAACTGAACTGAAGAGGTGGAATGCTCAACCTGGATTACATTCAGTGTACATTATACGTCTATTATATACAGAGTTGTGTTTGATTACAACCTGGATTACAATACAAAATGGAAGTAACCCTAACACAGGCGTCCACAATTTTAGCCTGGCTAGGTTCCAGCCCCAGGCAAGCTTGGTGATACTTGGTGGAGGTTTTGAGAGTGCCTTTGTCCAGCAGCCGCCGCCAAGGAAGCCTCCACTTCTCTTTCCTGCTATGGAGGAGGAAAGGATGAAAGTAGGAAAGGATGACGAGAGGCTAAGCTACTCTTTCACAAAGTTGGGAAGAAGGATGCTCACAGTACACAAAGCAAGCAAAAAATGCCAAATCCTGGACTGGTAGGTATTCACAGTGCTCCATCGTAGGTGGGTCCTTCCGGTGACAGATGATACAGTAGTTTCCCTGTCTGCTGAAGTTAGAAACCTAATGGAACGCCTAGGTCCCTCTGCCTTTACTCCTGGATAGGTGCCAGAAGCAAGGTGATTCTTCTGCTTCTGGAGAGGGGACATCTGGCCAGTGTGGTGTAGTGGTTAAGAGCGATAGACTCGTAATCTGGGGAACCGGGTTCGCGTCTCCGCCCCTCCACATGCAGCTGCTGGGTGACCTTGGGCCAGTCACACTTCTCTGACGTCTCTCAGCCCCCCTCACCTCACAGAGGTGGGGGAGGAAGGGAAAGGAGAATGTTAGCCGCTTTGAGACTCCTTAGGGTAGTGATAAAGCGGGATATCAAATCCAAACTCCTCCTCTTCTTCTTCTTCTCATGCTGATCATGCTTTTGCAACTTCCAGGATCACCTACAGGCAGCTACTATTTTAGGCACATCTGATATGTGTGCGCGACCACACGCACATTGCACTGAACCCGGAAGTGAACAAAAAGTCCCAATAGGGGGCAGGGCAGATGGGGCATCTGCAGGCCTTTTCAATGGCATTTCAAATATTATTTGAAATTAACATGTTTAATTTCAATTAAACATATGGTGCCTTGGAATGTAACCCCCACATAAATTGGGAGTTGCCTGTACAGGTAAACAAGTTCTACATGGAGCTTCCCTTGAGACTAAGACGTTCCAACTAGTGCTGAATGCTTATGTTGATAGCTGTTGGAAGGCCAATTTTAAGTATTCTGCAGCAACCTGCCCTAGTTACCAGACAGTTTCATACCTTGAAACCCTTCACAGCTTGGGATTCAAACACCCTGGAGACTGTCAAAACCCATATCAACCTAGGTGCTGCGTCATTCTTTGGTCTGAGCTTGTTCTATATGCCTAAATCACATGAGATGAGGAGCAACTGCTTAACCCAAATGCAGTTCCAGTGCTTTCAGTGAATTACTCCCTATGGCACACTTGAAGACTCCAGATTTATTACCTTTAATGAAAACAGTACTTGATTAGGAAAAATGCAAATTCAAAGGTACAGTTGTGCCTTCTTTCCCCTCCTACCTTTGCTGTAGATTGCTGAGCGTAAGCATTCTGGTCTGGACTTCCTTTGTCCCCTGTGTAATGTGCAGCTGCTCCCAGGTCAATGGTTTTGGAAGGGTTTGCTGTGCGCTTGTGTCTGGTGGTGGTGGTCTCTGTGGCTTGTGTAATATGGATGTGTTTTGTGGTCACTGTCTCCTCTTCATCTTTGAATTCTCCTTTAGGCGATTTAGCTTTTCTAGATCTCTTTTCCTCATCGCTATCACTGTGAAGGGAGGAAACAACAAAAACCATATTATAGACCAAAAGGGGAAGAAAAGAACTTGAAAAGGTAGCTAGCAAAGCTATCTTGTCATCAACATCTTTTAGAGGGAATTTCAGTCAAGAAAATATTTAAGCAGAGATTTTCTAAACAAGCAAGTCTGTGGTAGGCAAAAGAGGGTGGAGCAATGGTGGTAATTCTTATCTTTATACAGAAGACTAGAATCCAGCCTGGTTCAAATAAGATATTTCTACTCATAGCCCATGTATAGGATCCACCCCAATTTCTCCATCCACCATCTAGGAAAGCAAAAGGCATTATTGCTGTTCAAGGATACATTCCAGTCAGGCAAAAGCATTTCAGGAGTATATGGGGCAGAGATGGTGAGGGGGGATAACTCAGAGAGGGAGTATGGGCTGGGGAGAAGGTATGGCTGGGGAGAAGGAGGTGGTGGTGAAGACTGTATTCAGTCCCTGAGCCAGAAGTTACCCATTCCAGTTATAAAAGATGTTGTTTCAAGGTTTCCCAAGCCTACCACCCATTTTGTGACTGCTTTGGACATTGCACCATTACTAGCCAAGCTTGCTTTCTCAGTTAGAGAATTATGAAAAAAAAGTGCTCATTAAGCTTCACTACACAATATTACACTATAAATGCTACTTCTTCACTGAGATGGCAAAGACTTTGTTTGGATCATTGGACCACACTTCCAATTCCCCACACTCCAACTGGAAAGGCTGGTTAACTGAGATCAGCTGAAGCATTGCGCAAAAACAGTCTCTACCAATTGTATCTGGTGAGAAGTCTCATTCTCTTTTGGACAATGACACAGTAAATTTGTATGCCCTCATAAGCATGGGACTCTACAATTACATATCCTTTGTGCAGCTATCCTATACCTGCTGTGTATACTGCACAAAATGTGCTTGGAAGTCATACCCTGCTTTAGAATTTCCTTTCCGCAAAATTTTAAAGCCCAACCTTTTCTTTGGAAGCAGCATAAGATCCTAGTATATTGGGGATCAGGAAGGGGCAATTTCAAAAGTCTGTATTCTATTAATATAGACTAAATCTTGCCCTGAATAGGGTGAACAAAAAGGAAGCTTGAGGGACTGTCTTCATCCAGCTCCCACTGTGGCATCTCCCTGCCCACCTCCCAAATCTGTCACCAACAGAACCAGCTTGCCCTATGACAGTGGGTCCCCACCCACAAACAAGTTGTCTTATCCATTCTGTTGTTACTTTTTTAAAAATGCAATGCTTATTGGTGTAACATTCTTATGTTTGTGAGGTCTGCACAGAATTTATAAATATTGTCAATAAATAAATAAATAAATAAATAACCGTGTACATTTATCTATTTACAATATTCATAAAGTTTGTGCAGACCTCACAAAGTCTGCCTCCATACAGCTGAAGCGGATAGCAGCTTCTTGCAAAACCATGGCCTGCAAGCTGAAGAACAGGCTTTATCTTCCATCTTCCACCTTCCAGTGCAATTCCTTTTCCTTTCTGTCATCAGCCTTTATCATGATTTAGCAATACATTTACACCAACAGCAACTAATTTTAAGGCTAATGCCAGCTTAAGCAGGGTTTGCAAATGCGCTTGAAACCATGGCTAGGATAGGAAGGAACCCACGCTAGTATTGGCAGAGATACTATGGTTGAGGCCAACAAAGAAATGGAATTTGGAAATTCATACTGGAGGCAGATTTCTGATTTGGATATCATAGTTTGCAAGGAACCAGTCTTAAAACTGCATTCGGCCTATGTATATGCAACTTTATAAATTGTTTTGAAAAGTTATTACTTGACCAGTGTTTTTGGCAAGGGGCAGATTAAGTCTCCAGCAAAATTATGTTATCCACAGCTGTACTTTTATTTGGAAGGTAAACAGTTTTTACATTGTGTGATGTTTTTCATTATTAAGGTATGCAATTGGTACAGGGCAAGATGCACTGTTGAATAACACATGCAAATGTAACTTGAAATATAACTGTGAAAGGTTTCTCTGTTTCAATAAGCAATAGAGCACTGAGTCACCTAATTTCAGAAAGGCTGTCTTGTTGTCAGCATGGAGGTAACACAAACTGCAGTATGCTCTGTGGGGTAGCCTTTGTTCTCCACTAACAATGGCTGAGGCTTTGCCCATTATTATTATTACTTAGTTATGCCTCCCACTGCATCTCAGCATATTATCTGCTTGCCAGCAAAGGCCATTTAATTCATTAAGATCAGTGAACATAAATACCCAGCATTTCATTTTCTATTCCAACAGAGATTACAGATGCAAAGTAATAAGGGGGCCTAACAGCCCCAACCAAGTGTAGAGGGAATAAATTCGCCAAGCACTGCTGCAGAGCACACTCTCTTCCTTTCAAGAGGGTTTGCGCAGAAACACAAGCCCCAATGAGGTGAAGAAGCATTGGGGCAGAAACGCAAGCCCCAATGAGGTGAAGAGCAAGTGTTTCTGGGTTTAACACAAAGTAAGACACTGCCAGATTCCATGTAATGGTTTTACTTATTCATTCCTGTCCCATCTGTAAATTCAGAAATCTTTCCCGAGGCAGAGTATGAAGTCATATGAAAGCAAATTAATGACATAATCAAATCATTACCAAATACAACCAATGCAATACTGATACGAAAAGAGAAGAAAATTAAAAGCAGATAGCCCCTAAAATTGACATTCATTAAAATATCATGCTAATAAAACAGTCTTGACCTGCACCTATATCAACAGTGAGCAACTGAGGATGCTAGGATGCCATCACTGAAAAGGCCCTGCCTCTAGTCATCAATACCCCAACTTCCAATGGCAGAGCTGGGACCACTGAGAGATGGGTACAGTTGGTACTGATGTACCAGTCCCAGAGCCAGCTCTGAGTTGCCATTAAAAAAATAAAATCTCTAGAAAAAAATTGTGAAGGAAAATGTACAAGGATGCTTCTAAGTTATTTCTGTGAGAAGAGCCAGCCTGGTTGCTCCCACCTTTCAATGTTTTTAGCAAATGAATGAAGTAATAATCCTTGGAATTCGAAGAGCTGCTGTTGTTCCCTCCTCTTTAGTGCACCTCCCCAGCTTCTGTCTCCTTTTCCAGTCCTTAGAATCTCTCTAGTCTGCATTCTGTTTTTCCTAGCAAACTGTGTGATGGGCTGTTAGCCTGAGATTAGGTACTCCCTAGAAGTTATTTCCTACAAATACTGCTAAAGAGTAAGTTTATACACTCATATTTTTCTTCATACTTAAATTCTTTAGAAAAACCAATTGTGTGCTCTTTCAACACTTGATTTTCTTTTATAATTTCTGTTCTTTTTTTAAAAAAGAAGCATAATGCTTACAAAACATAGTAAAAATTTTCTCAGATTATGTTGAATAAATGTTCAACTGAATGAAGTTCAATATTTCTGTGGGTGGAGAGGGCGGGAAGTGAAGACAAGAGGAGTTATTTCCACCCCCACACTTTGTACTATACACTGCTATAGTAAATAAAAGCTAAAAACATCCATCTTGTGAGAGTATATTCCTAAAATTCCCATGTAAAATGAAAATACACTGTCTCTTATATTTTGTTAGAGAAATATAGAAATATAGCCATGGAAACAGGAAAAAGGGCCCAAATAATAGTGTGTGTTGCCATTTAAAAATCTCCACACATCATATTAAGATTCAGAACAGTGGAATATATTGTAGATTTAGTCTGATTTGATACATCTGGTTTAACATTTAATACACTGCTAAATTCCCCTCTCAAGATCAATTCACCTTTCAAAAGAAAAAGAAAAAAAAAGACACTGGAAAGAAGTACAACTTTAGCACCTTAATGAATTTTTTATTCTTCCAACATGCTGTTGTGAAAAATATTAAATATATGAAAGCTCCTACTGCTTTAATCTCATCCAGATGAGATTTGTATAAAAGCTTCCACAGCAGTATCAGAAACTATTAAGTATCAGTTTGATCTACTGACGATAAAGTTCAATCCACTTGTTGAACAGATCAACTATTGGAGTTTGCACAGCAGGCAAAACCTCCAAAATGTTTTCCTTTTAATGTAGAGGGCATTTAATGATCTCATAAACAAGTGTCCACTGTACTTTATGAAAAGGTTAGCTGAAAAGTAAGCAGCCATTTCTTTAGGCTAAGAGAAAGTAGCAAAATGTTCTATCTTTCAACTTTTATGACTTGGACACAATCAAAACAAAAAAGGTAGCTATTTTCCTCCGTACACTCTTAATAATCTAAAAAAAACCCAAGATACTCCTTCACTCCATTTCACTGCTAGCGACAAAATTAGGCCCCTACTACAGTTGAGACAAATGAAAGCATTGGCTCTTTCCTGGTTAGAACAAACAGCTTCTCTATGGAAAACTTCACCAGAGTTTTTGCCATTTCTAAACGCAACAATCTGAAAGTGATTTTTTTTTTTAAATGAAAGCCAAGATGATTGGAATTTTAATAAACTATTCAATAGGACCCTGATTAGCCTTACAATTGTAGGCTAGCAAACTCCTTCAACAGTTTTTACAGAAGGCAGTTAGAATTATTGCGGGCTACATAGATTTGGGATGTCTCATGTAATGTGTTGTCCACTTCAAATTGTTCCATATTGCCTGCTTTATGTTTAGCTGCCCGCCTGCAAGGAATGGTCACACCCCCTATTACTGAAATAATGGTTCCAACTGTAGAGGTATGCACATGTAAAAGAGATAGAAGGACAACAGAATCCAAACTAAAGCCTATTTCTTGTGATTTATAGGGTCTCTTGGACATCTTAAAAACTTGGATTACCAGGGAGGCTGCAAATCTTCTAGCTGACTCAGAGAGCCAGATTTTCATTGCTTTCAGCACAATTTCTTCTTGGTACTTTGGCCACTGAAAGACTAGATTTTCCCAACAAATTACCTACAAGAAGAAAATCTTAAATTCTGTGCTAGAAAATCTACAAGGCTATGACCAGAAAAATTCACAAAAAATTACAACCATTCTTCTTCTATTCTTCTCATTGGCTAAAGTAAGTGTTCTAGGACACAAAGGGGTGGGATCTACAAAATTCATGGAATGTACTCATGGAATGCTCACACTGATGGAAGGAGGGAAGATTACTTTTGCTGATTTCCCTCTTACTCCTCCTAATGTATAGTGGATGGTTGGGGGACCTTCTCTAATTACATGGGAGGAGGTGCAGGGACTTGTAGGGATAAACAGGCAAATCTTGTCTTGCTCCATTCCCTTGTAAGTCTCCACTAGGTCAATGGGCAGAAGGAACCCTTTCGTTTAGATAACGGTCTACCAATTTCCAAGCTATGAGTGTGCTTAAATTTAATTTATAGAACAGCATGGGGCCCTGAAGAAGAGATGGCACAATGCTAAGTGAAGAAATCACAGCCTGATTCACGATGGTACCCATTCCTTTTTTAGACGCTTAAACCACATGGGGAAGCCAGCCCATATGTTTTCAGCTTATTCTTCCATAGCTATAAGGACTATAATGCTTAAAAGATGAAAACCAACATTTTCAGGATTTCAAACTTATCCTACAATTACAGGAAAGAAACTGGAAAAAGCTAAAAAGAGGTTATGAAAAGGACAACCAATACAGCAACAATGTAAAACAATGTAAAAATAAGTAAGTACCTGCATCTTTCTGGAGAATCCTCTCTGTCTTTCCTCCGGAACTTGCTGATGGTGTCATCAATTGTGCTCCCGATTTTATCACTCAGCTCACCTAACTTATCACTGAATGGAAATCCGCCTTTGTTTTTATCCCATTCTTCATCCCACTTGGACTTTGGCTCAGTATCATATCTTTCATCTAAATAATATTAAAAAGAGTGAGGGGAGATTTAACCAAAAGTGCCACTAATTCTTGTCAACAGACCTTTAACAGTTTTCAAAGCAAACAGAAACGTTCATGATGCTGCAGCAATATTATTACCAAGAGTAAGCATGTTATGCCAACAGTTAATTTGTCCAAAATGTATTCAAAAGATGTTGACGAATTGTAAGGCAAGGCATCGAACTTCAGAATAAGACCAGACATTGTAAGAGCAGGCTAAAAGGCTTCCCTCACCTAAAGAAATGAACCCTGGCTTTATGAGCAACTTGTGAGAAATGAACCTGATTTGTTTTCTAGCCAGGCTGCCACAGAAAACTGGAAACCTTTCAGAGACTGTATATGTTTCAAAACCTCATGAATACAGAAGGTTGTACCAAACCCTGCAAGACAAGTGTGAAAACAGCTGGCAATATGTTTAGCCTCAATCACCAATTTTAAAGGCTCTTTAAATCTATTAAGGAAAAGGCAGCATCTTATCCCCTTATGCGTTACTGGGGACTCTTTAATTTCTCAACATTGTATCGCCACCAAAAATTTGCCACCTAAACAAAATTTGCTTCATAATGCCGAGATCCAAGTATCCCCAACTAGCTGCCAACTAAGAGTATGAGACGGCAGCATTGCTCAATTGTCTTTAAACAGTGTCTCAATTGGTGCGGTATTAAAACTGCTAGCACATTTGCAAAGCTTAGCATTATTCCAGCACCACAGAGAGCTGGACTAGATGACCCTCGGGATCCCTTCCAACTCTAAAATTCTATGATTCTATGAATTCCATAACAAATTTTAATCTTCCATTTATCTTCTGTGTGCACGTTTTATTAAAAAGTACCATAAGAGCTAATATATTGAAGCTTTAAAACTATCTCATTACAAAGCCTCCAGCATTAATCGAATTCCTAAATAAAACTGAGACTTAGCTTACCAAATATTCTAAAGGAATATTACAGACATGTAAATACAGATTGGGCATCTTAGTGAGATAGCTCAGTTGGTAGAGCATGAGACTCTTAACCTTAGGGCTGTGTGTCTGAACCCCACACTGGACAAAAAGATTCCTGCATTGCAGGGGTTGGACTAGATGACGCTTGTGGTCCTTTCCAACTCTATGATTCTATGTTTCACCTTCTGTGTTAATGCTCCCATTATCTGAGCCAACTTGATTCATGGCATCCACCTACCTAACTTCTCAGGGGGACTATCCTGCACACAGTGACCCACTCAAATCAGGAGTATCGTACTCCTAACCATGATGGTGCATATAGTGAATTCACCCCGATAACACATATGCAAACCCCACTCTAGTTTATATACATGAGCAAGCCACAACCCAGCTGCTTCAAAGCACATTAGGAATCCCAGGTGCAAGGCTAAGCCATTCACATAAGTGGGAAAGCTCTGTATGCATGGTAGAATATAAGAAGTTCCTGGAGCAAGCCAGTGGCCCATCTAGTCTGCCACCCTCTTCTCACAGTGGCCAACCAGATGCCCAAGGAAAGCCCAACAGCAGGACATCCCCAAGCTATGTTCCCTTTATAGAAGAAGGATATTATGCATGTATGAAAGAGAGGGATGCTTCTGGGGTGGCACGTCAAGTCTCAGTTCCCCTCTGAGGAAGGTATGCCTGACATTGCATTCTTTATAGTTCCAGTTTAAGACGTTTTATTTGCCCAGCTATTTGAAATGATTGTATTTTCAACTAGGTGAACAGCCTTACTCCGCTCAATTTTATCCCAGGTGCAAGGCCTCGGTCCTGTATACCTGAAGGAGCCCCCATCATCCAGCCCGGACACAGGTCCAGCGCTGAGGGCTTTCTGGCGGTTCCCTCGCTGCGAGAAGTGAGGTTACAGGGAACCAGGCAGAGGGCCTTCTTGGTAGTGGCGCCTGCCCTGTGGAACACCCTCCCAGCAGATGTCAAGGCAATAAACAACTATTTTATTTTAAAAGACAACTGAAGGCAGCCCTGTTTAGGGAAGTTTTTAATGTCTGACGCTGTATTGTTTTTAATATTCGGTTGGAAGCCGCCCAGAGTAGCTGAGGAAACCCAGCCAGATGGGCGGGGTATAAATAAATAAATCATCATCATCATCATCATCATTTTGGGTTTCCTGTTGTTTAAACATTCCATTGTAGATTTTAAATTTAAATATGCATTTCTAAAATTTCTATGCATTTTCTATTAATAATACCCCCCACTGTACCATGGCATCAGAGTCCTATAGAGAAATGGATTGCAATAAGGGTTGTATAACCCAGAATATGCATAAGCAAGTTTCTATAGTTCAGCTACCTTGAAAGGACCGAGTTGTTCTGTAAGAGATGGAGTTCACTGCAGGGAGTAGATCCCCACAACTTCTGGCTAGCAGACAGACACCTGTAACTCAAATACTCTACAACTCACTGGACAACCCCCCCCCAACTTGCTGGCCTCCTATTCAAATATCCTATATTGGGTTTTTACAAGATAAGGAAGGATTCCAATGGGTTCTTCTTCCCACAGCCAAAGGCCAAAGACTTTCAACACAATCTGTCACTCCTGTTCATTGTGGTTGGAGCATGAGCATTTTGGGGATGGTACTGGCCCACAAAGAGGCAGCTCCCATGCTGCAATGGTAAATATAAGAAACAGGCCTCAGGGGAAACTAGTTCAAAAGTGTTGCCTTATAATGTTAGACAAAGATTATCTGCAGTTTCGAGATCAATATTGTTCCACACACAACGCTGAATAATTCTAGACCTTTTTACACTCCCCCTCCCCACACTTTGCCCTGAAAAAAGTATTCCCCCTGGTGCAACCCCATGTGCTACAAAGTATGTGTATGTGCATATGTGTCACAACAACAAATAGGAAAGATCCACACGGCCAGCTTGCCTACGTAATTGTCTTATTCGCAGAGACATCTGAGCCACATAGGAGAGCATAATGGAGAAGTGGTCCCTTGAGTAGAGTGGGGTGGGAGAAGACAGCTTTGTTTGCAGTCCAAAACACTTGACAGCAGTAGCAACTGTTAGGAGAGTCCGAAGCTAATCACTGTTTGGATACAAACAATCTGCATTGCCAGAGAATCCAATAAGCTTATCCTTATCTAGCCAACTGTAGGGATTTTGAAAGGAACCTTAATGCCAACCTCTTCCAGTATATACTGTATTTTTCTGTGTATAAGACGATTTTTTTCTTCCATTTTTTGACTCAAACATGAGGGGGTTGTCTCATACACAGTTTTTGGCAGGGCGATCAACAACTTTGAGTGCTATTGCCCCCCAAAAGCTGAACAACTTTGACAACCTAAAAATATTGATTTAATTTTGGGTTCAAAAAAATTGGGGTCGTCTTATACATAGGGGCGTCTTGTACACGGAAAAACAGGTACTTACCGTCTCCTCTGTTATGAACTAAGGTTACTTCTCTCTGTGTGCAACTTTTTTACTTCCCTCCTCACTGAAAAAGCTTTCAGAGCAATAAAAGCAAGACAGCCCCTGCCCTTGGGCTGATAATCCAAAAAGACACAACACAAAAAGAATCAGATTGGGGGAGAGAAGGAAAAACATAAACTCAGGCACTGCTTCTTAACGTTACGAAGTTCCAATAAGGACCCGTTTTGGTGGAAACAGTTCATAGAGAGGAGCTAGAAGGAGCTAGTTTCTCAGCAAAGCTGATAGGGCAGTCCTGCTTCCCCTTTTCTCCATCTTCTACAATCTGAAGGAAAGGCTGTTAATTTAATTTGTTAATCTCCCCTCGCTGTTCAGTCATATGAAGGTCTACTTCCTTCAGATAATGACACCTATGTAGATTGGTGATGGCACTCATATGTTTTTTAAAGAACATATATTTATTACAGCATATCCACAAAACCAAGCTAACATTGCAATATGCCAACTACTGATTACAGTGCTGTACTCACTGTATCTGAATCCTCCAACACTGTCTGAAGAAACCCCAATGTATTTATCTTTGTTTTTCTTTGCTTTTTTCCTCTCTTCACGAAGTCTATCATCGTCCTGGGCAAATTCTACCATTTCTTTCACCTTCTGACGTATATTTATACCTTGGTCTTTGCCATTCTCATCTGTGTGAGCATATATAAAAAAGAAGCCATTTAGTAGAAGCAGTTAACCTCAAGCATTAAGTATCCTGGAAAAAAATAAGATATAAAAAGAACACAAAATATTTTAAGGTTATGGTATTCCAAAGCAATTCTCGGTAATGAGTGAACAGCACAATTTTTTTATAACCAAAATTTCATCTTAATCTAAGGGGTAGCATTTGAAAACAATGTCAACTGAGAAAGCTTCCTAAATGCTGCTGATCTACTAAAAATATTAGTTAAAAAAAGATTCAAAAACAGAAACACATTTTCTGTCAATTTTAACCCATTTAAAGCAACCTCCTCTCTCAACCTTTTTGGGAAGGCAGTTTTTCTTCAAAATACTAATTGCTATATTTCTGTCTTGCTTCAAAACTGTATTTTAAAAATGCTGTCAGCCCGAGTGCACTACAAACTAAAATTTGCTTCACTTCTCTAAGCCTCTTTCTTATTCAGAACACACACTGGCCTTGCTGCCTTTCCACTGTAAATATTATTTGGTGGGAGGGGAAAAAACCCCAGCTTCAAACAGATGTGTATGTTTTGGAGCTCTAACCTTTTCTTCCCATATGATTAAAGCTATTCCTTTACACACACCACAGGGGACCAGTCTCTAGTGCATATTTTAATATAAACCCGAACACTCATGTTGTGTTGGTTCTGTTGTTATTAGCCAGTCTTTTCTGCAAGTTCTTGTCTTCACTAATTAATACTCTAGGGTCCCACGTCTTGAATTCTGCACTCTTCACACAACCGGCAACAGTCACATTCTAATTAGAGCGGGGAAGCTTCTAAGCTGGTTCAGGTGACTGACAACTCCAACTACTGTTTTAATTTGCTTATAAGATTTTTCTATCGCTCACCTACAAAGTGGTAATTTTCCAGGGATCGCAAATCATAAATGTGTTCTCTGGCACTTGTAACAACACGCTCTGATCCATTCCTTATGAGGTAAGATAGGAGCAGCAGAGACTATAAAAATACAAAGCACCTTATTATTGCATGAACAAAAGCCATCAGTATTTTTAACTGCAATAAAAAGAAAAGCCTAAATGCACAAAAATTAGTAAACAAAAGCAGGATTTGTTCCCATTTAAATAAGCCACCTTGAAGATTGTTGCTCCTTAAAGCAAGAACCACTCATAATACAGTGTACAAATTTAAAACTGCATTTACTCACTAAGACAAAAAATGTAGAACATTAAATCATAAGTTATTTGCCTGAAGAATGTTCTCCAGGAGGGGGAAATTATGGTTAAGGCAATTTAAGACGAAGAAGGAGGAAAGAAAAAAAACACCCTGAACTCTACAGAATGAAACAATTTTCTTTTGTGTCTCTCTCTTTTTTTTGCAATTGCCTTATTCCCAAGTGTTTTTCCATTTAAAAGCATTTTTATGGCAATTTATCTATGTAGCTTTCTGCAGGAAATGTGTTGATGTATGAAACTCACTATTTTCAGGTAAATTTAAACAAACTTCAAAACAAAAATAAAGTTGAAAAGTATTTTAATTTTGTGAACTTCCTGCAATTTCCAGGCTTTCCCTTGATTTTGAAATCATACATAAATAAGTCATTTGGATGCCAATAGATGCATGTTTATAAATGGCAATGATCTGAAACTAGTAGATAAATTTCAAGTATCCTTAAGAATGTTAAATCCTATGTATGATAGCATTAAAAATTAATTTATATTATGCTGCAGGGAAAACAATTACTATAGTAAAACCTATGGGGGGTAACCTTGCCTGAGAATTAAATACAGTATGTTCAGTGTACAATATTATAAGTCTTAAGGCCCTTCTCAATACTATAGGAAACAGAAAAAAAATGTATTGTGATGCATATGCTGAATTTAATTGCAAATGCAGATGAAAGAACACAAGGGAACAAATACTTTATGGTGAACAAGTGACTGGCTTTCTCTTCAGTTAGTTACAAGATAAAATGTAATTAGCAAAGTTGTGCATTGGGGGGAATCCAGTACAATGAGTGAAAAGTATTAGTGGTAAATGTATGTGCTCATTTCCAGATTGCTTCAAATGTAAATTGAGTTGCAAAAGAGACATTCAGAACAAATATCAAAATGAGGGTCTCACTAGTAGGCCAGTAAAAGGGTTACTTCCCAGTTTTAAAAGATCAAATTACAGACAATCCTCTATTCAGTATTTAAAACAGTAATAAAAATAAAAATTGCTAGAAGGCATTCATTAAAGAGTCTTTGTAGAGAAAAACCAAGAAAATCCTTGTTTTTCAACAGAGACTTCTTCTCTAAAAACATACACAGGAAAAATCAACTTGATTAAAATCAAGCTTGTACTAACTGCACACAAAGGATCTGGAAACCTGTGAAATTTAGCATAGATATTATGTTAATGATAGCACAAAAATGAGTTAATTACAATAGGGCACTGTTGTAAAATTAAAACATTCAGTAAGTGCCATATTTAGAACAAAATTAAACCTTGAAGAAGCTCATAAAAAGTAATTTTATATACATACTTTATAAACTCTCCGCCAGTTCTTTTTGTTGTCTTTCAGCATTCGTGTCCAAAGCATGTTCATAAGTTCTGGAAACTGTTCATACATAAAGGTAGCCCTAAAAACAAAAGAAAGGCAAAAGGAGGAATTAGCTGTTTTCAGGAACGGTCTGCTAGGACCTGCATTTGACAGCAGGTGGCAGACTTGCTCTAAATTAGAGCTTCATTCCCAAATACAGAGCTACTGACATTTGTTCAGAAGTATTTCATATACAGAATTACTCACTAGATTAGCAATGCTGATAAGTTCTCCCCCTCCCCTCCAACAACGGAAATAATGAAGAACTAGAAGTTCCTTGTTATCTTAGCCCATCATGCCATTCATTTGCCCTTCTTGAGAAAGCATTTACGAAGGAGCACCAACTTCCTAATTTTGTATTTCTGAAAAATGCTTTGCTAGACCCCTACCCGAAGGAAATCTTATCTCCTACAAGTTACAATGCTTCGTGAAAATAGGTTTTAATAAACAGTTGCTTGTGGCCATCATTCCAAGTACCATTAATACTGATCTCTCCATCTCATTTATTCTTCAGAAGTGGTGAAGCAGGAACAATTCTTACATGTATATCTGCATAAAGATGTACCTTCCTTCACTGCTGAGTCAAATTATCACTTACTTGGCAATCTCTCCCATGAGTTGCCCTGAAGGTCCCCACGGATCATCGTTGGTTGCTTCTCGAACCTTAGACTCGATTTCTGAATAATTCATGACCACATTGGTGCTGCAAAAACAGAATTAAACACATGCATAAAGATTAGCATCAAAACTGAGAAACACATGAAAACTTAATAATGACACTAGTGGGTACCTTAATGAGATACCTCTACAGGGTGGGAAAGAAAACATCTTTAGTGGAGAAGGTACCCCGAGGACACCGCAACACATTTAACTATCTTTAAGAAGGTTTTGCTTTTCCATTAGCCTTCCAGAATATAGCTTAGAGACTAAGGATTGCATTAGACTTGGAACCATTCCAATAAAATATGGCTTATGGACAAATTAAAAGTAAAACTGAACCACTGAAGACCGGCCATTGTTACTTTGCTTGTACACATAAACACATGCACGCTACAGCTATTTGCCACACATCTAGAACTGAAACAAATGAAACAACCCTATGATGAAAATGAAACAATAGGTCTTATTGTAGCAGTTGCCAACAAAATTAAAAGAACTGAAGCAGAGGCACCAAGTATCACAGCCTGAAAAAGGTGGGACAACATGGGCAAAATCCATACAAACTCCAGTCTTTACCTAAAGACAGTCTTAAATACCATCTACAAGGATTAATAAATGAATGCAGGAACCAAAAATGAAAGGTTTACTACAGGGGTCAGCAAACTTTTTCAGCAGGGGGCCGGTCCACTGTCCCTCAGACCTTGTAGGGGGCCGGACTATATTTTGGAAAAAATATATATAAATGAATTCCTATGCCCCACAAATAACCGAGAGATGCATTTTAAATAAAAGGACACATTCTACTCATGTAAAAACACACTGATTCCTGGACCACCCGTGGCCCGGATTGAGAAGGTGATTGGGCCGGATCCGGTCCCTGGGCCTTAGTTTGCATACCCATGGGTTAGTATCAACTACATTTAGTACCTTATGGCAAATACTAAGCCTTTTCTTTTTCTTGTATTTCCACTTAAATCCTTACAAAAAAAGACCTGGCTAATTAATATGCCTTTAAAATTTGCAAACACACATGAGAAGGCATATTTGTCCCCACAGAATATTATGCTGCACAGAGTAGGCAACTAGGAGAATGAAAGGGAGAGAATTGCCACATGAGAATTTCAAAATCAGGGTCACTTTGGAGCCGTTGAGTCTGAAATAAGAGACATCACCCAACTCGGAAAGGAAGAAAACGAGCACATTTATTCCTCTACACTAAAAACTGGCAAGAAACTGAGATGTACTTTCAGATAGCCTTGCTACTGGGAAAGTGGCAATATTTTTTTCCATTTACATTGCACACAGGAATGCATGCAGTGTTGTATATAATACGCTTTCCCTAGTCCTCTTTAAGCTTCTTCATATATAATGTGCCCTTTATAGACACGTGTGATAGACAAGGGGAAAGAGACTCTGCAGAGTATACAGCTATTTATACTACGATATGAAAAAATATGCTGAAGAGAGCTTTCATGGATTCTCCCACCCAGAGGTAGAGGCTTCAATGAAGCTTCCACCAGTGTCCAAAGAAATTGCTAAGCTATATTTAAGAACCTTTTGCTACTGATCTTGAAATTGCAGTTGATACAGGGTATATCTAGAAGACCTTAGCAATTATTGGCCAGTCTCCAAGTTTTCAATCCGGCCAAGTTTTCCATTCTTCAACTTATGATTTAGTAGGAAGTTGTGGCTCACACCTCCAGACCCTCCTCCATCTATTTTAATAAAGCTTCAGGCTACTTTTGGGCCTGGTATTGGTATTTCTGGATTTTTCAGCAACTTTTGATACTAATGCTCCATTTTTATTTCGGGATCTGGTAGGCAGGCACCTCGTTGTGGTTTTAAGTGAAGTCTTAAAACTATTTTCAGTGGACAAAATTTAAAATGAAATCCAAAATGGGGAAAGAATGCAGCGTGTGCATTGGAAGTGGTTTGGGCCAGGTTGTAGCAAGGAGTGCTCATGGAACTATCGCTGCTCCTGGATGCCTGAGGGTGTTATGGGGATGATATCAATTGTGTTTGACACACCAGATGCCAACATGGAGCGTGAATCCAAGCAGGATGGCGGGACAACTCCAGTGGCTCTGGGAAGAGATTATGAAATGTTAACGTTAGTTATGTTTGCTGGGAGAAAATGCTCCTAAGTTCACTTTTATGATCCGCATGAACCACTTTGATGCTGGCTGTGGGCCAGTAATAAGTTTTATTCAGGAACCTCCAGTATCTAGTCAAGTCCCTTTCAGAAGAACAAGGTACTTTTTACAGATATCCATGTCTTTATAGATGGGGGACACTACTGCACTGTAGTTTACATGGGACTGCCCTTGAATTTTTTTGTCTTCAAATTGTACCAAATGCTGTCCAATTCCTGGCAGTTGCAGGAAAATGCAATCATTAAACCGCAGCAGCAGCAGCGAACAGCTATCTATTAAGTTTCCATTCCTGCATCAAAGTACATTTTTTAACCTAGGAAGGGCTTCACAGCTTCTCAGCCCTGCACTGATTAGCGAATGTAAGTTGCTCTGCCAGTACTTCACATACCCCATGTTAAAACAAGCTAGGAATGTAATGGATAGAGTTCCTCCTGTGAGAGATTAAAATAGTTGCAGGACAGTGAAGACAATTCACTTTGGTGATAGCGTCAAGTTTACAGAAAACATTCCAAAGTGAAATCTGCCAACACGCCCCCCCCCCCCCAAACACACAGACACTAGGAAGAAATATGAGATATTTTTACTGCAGTGGTCTCTGTTGTTATTATTCTAGGACTGTTTTATTAGGATTGGTCTACTGATGTTTAAGACTTAATTTCCTGACACTATCATTTGGTTTAATTTTATTGATATTTTAATATGCTTTGTAAGACTGGATTGTAATGATAAGCAGCAAAAGAACTTGATTTTTTTTTAGAGAACTTAATAATTTTAACAGCCAGAAATCCTTGAAGCCAAAAGCTAAAATTCAATTTTATCTATTCCATGCCTGAAGAACAGGTAACCTGTATGTTTGACTTAAGTCAGTCAACAAATGAAAACCATTATTTGCACCAGAATGTGTGTCAAAACAGATCTGTATGGCTGCAATTAGAACTATTTATTCACTTTACTATCATCCCACCAAAGCACACAGATCAAGTGTATGGTTCTGCATTCCCCTTTTAGTAGGGACACATATTAACCTAATGCTATTTTTAATTCCCATTCATATGGAACTGGTTTTCAAGACAGGCATCTGAGGTTTTATAGCTTTCAGCGCACTAGTTTCTTTGTCCAATGTAAGGAATACCTGTGGATCAAATGGGAAAGGTTCTGTTTTTACAACCTTCCCCAAGGTCTTGTTTGAAGGGCTGGGGGAAAAGACTAAGATGAAGTGTTTCCTACATTTTTCTAGGTTAAATGCTCAAGATTGCAAGTCATGCAGGAAAGAAAAGCCACAAACATCCATTAACAGGCACCCATATCAGTTCAGTTAGGAGTGATTAAAAAGTTCAGGAGTAAAGCAATCTGTGAGGAAGTTAAAAGAGCAGATTGGGGGAAGTTAGAACAACACACAACCTAAAACTACTAGTTATAAACAGCACTAAGTAAGGCAGCACACTCTATCTCTGAATCCATCCTGCTATAAAAATATTATTCCCAGCAAAACAGGGAAAAGTACTAATAACCCCTCAAAAGAGATGTAGCATTCCAGAACAAAATCTTCAGCCGCATTTCATTCAGCACCAAACGTAAACCGAGGGGCGGGGGGGAGGTTGTGTAGTTTGGCTATGTTCCAGGTCATTTAAAAATAACTATTTTAAAAAAGGTGGAAATCTAGTTTTATTCTTCCTTTCCCATGTTTTCTATGGCCCTCAATCCATGCCCTACCCATGATGCCTGTGACCTTTAGAGCAGCTTTTTTTTTTTACTTCCAGATGTGAGGGAGAAAAGTGACTGGTTTGATTGCCAAGACTTCCTGTGATTGATATAAATTTGATATCTGAGGACACTTTCAGACACCAGGCGGGAGGGCCTCTCTGGTTAGTTTATCCTGGGCCTCTTCCAAGGAATCTTGCTGGACTTCATAGACAGAATTCTTTGCAATGGCCTACACAATAGCTGGATTGACAAATGGACTGAGCACGTTATGCTTAAAGCCTGCTATAATCCAGGACACTGTCTGGCAGGGACCGGCCTGTTATTTTAAAACCTGAGCAATTAGAATATTTGTCACGAACCATTAAAAAAAAGTCCACATGAATAAAACTAGATGAAACTCATTTCTAACCCCATTACTGCTTCGGCAAAAATCAATGTGGTATGTAGCTATAAAAGAAAGCAGAAGTTTAAACTAGTTTTAATCCTTATTTTCAGCTTCTTCTTTTGTGAGACCTACATGAAATGGGTTCTGTAAAACCAAGAGCAGCTGGTGAATTAGTTACCCAGAATTTGTATGCTACTCTTGAATCTCCTTTGCCTGCTTCTGTGTAATATATGAAAAAGCTGACAAGACCACAAAGATATTTTGTGCCAAGTTTATGAATAGAACTCTGGTAAACAAGAGTGCCCTGCTGTTTAGATGAAAACTAGCGAAGCAGGGTAGCTAATTTGGAGTAACCAACCTAATTCAAACATCAGTATTTAAAGTAAGAGTATTTTATTTATTTATTGGATTTATATCCCAGTCTTCCTCTCAAAGAAGCCCTAGGCAGCCCAGTATCCCAGAGTCACATATACATTTTTCATCAAAGCCACTTGATTCATGTGCTATGAATGTCTAGTTCTTTCCAGCTTGGGTGGCTATCTAATATTTCATAGAATCAGAGTTGGAAGGGACCCTGAGGGTCATCTCTTCCAACTCCCTGCAATGCAGGAATCTCAACTAGATCATACATGACAGGTGGCCATCCAATGTCTGCATAGAAGCCTCCAAAGGAGGATAGACCACCACCTCTCATGGGAGTCGGCCCCACTGTGGAACAGCTCATATGGTCAAAGTTCTTTCTGATGTTTAGTCAGAATCTCCTTCCTTGTAACTAGAATCCATTAGTTCAGTGTCCTACCTCCGGAGCAGGAGAAAACAGACTTGCTCCATCCTCCATGTAACTGCTCTTTAGATATGTGAAGATGACTATCATATCCCCTCTACTCTTCACAAGCCTAAAACATACCCAGCTGCCTCAACCGTTCCTCATGAGGCTTGTTTTCCAGGTCCTGGATTATCTTGGTCACCATACATTCTAGCCTGTCAATTTCCTTCTTAATTTGTAGCACCTAGAACTGGACACAATATTCCAGTTTTCTCTATTAAAGAAAAAATTGACTATTTTCCCCATATAATTCTATGATTGTCTAGTTACGTCTGAAAATCATTTATATCATGTAAACGTGGGGGGAGGTGTTTGTTCGCCCCAGAACATTGGTATCACTTTAACTTATTGCGTTCCATCATACCTCTCCTCCCTTTCGACTGTTGCCCATAGGCTGGCCTTCACCAAAGCGAGGTTTAATGTTTTCCCTCCAATGTCCTGAGACATAGATTCTCAAAGGGCCAAACCTCCGCCATGTGCGAATGTGATAAGGAGATGCCGGAGTCGCTTCAGCACATTATGTTCACTTGCCCCTTATTTAAGGTGCCACGGGCAAACTTGTTGGGATCAATCATACAGAAATTAGAGGGTACTCCACCAAAATTCCACCTTGCCCAAATCTTGCAGGATAAGGATGCCCATACGACCCTGAAAGTGGCTAGGTTCCTGGTCGCTGTCCTTACCCAAAAGCGTCGCCAAGGAGCACCACAAGCTAATTAAGGCGTAGTATGCCATTCCATCTTATAGTAGCTTATTGTTATAGTATTGTTTTAGCGGCTGTTTTTTTCCCATGTGCACAGGCTGTTATTTATGTCTTGTTTTTATCTGTATGGGCCTACGGCCGTAATAAATTATTATTATTATTATCATGTAAACGTCTTCCCATTAAAAGTGTTCTCTTCTTTCCAGAAAAATAGGATTATATTCAACATGACTAAGGCAGGTTGCTTAATTTCAATGAGTCCATACTGAGCAAAAGTTGATTACTACCTATAGTTTTAAGAGTTGCCATACATTAGTGTGTGTGTGTGTGTGTGTGTGTGTGTGTGTACTCCATATATGTGTGTGTTGGGAAGTATCTCAAAATTCACTTTGTAGCAACTATGTTGAACTGATAGAAGTATCTAGGGATTGGCAAGTCTCCCCATTCCAAGAGTTCTGAGTGTGTGTGTGTGGGGGGGAGCACTTCCAGAATCAGGATATCTTCCTAATCTTCATGATTTCTGACCTGATCACAGCAGCCTCATGACTGAGGGACATGTATTATTATAAATGCAAAATATGCACAGTCCTCAAAGCTCCCAGAGTGGGTCAATCGTGTGGTTTGCTAAAGGTACCTCTAGGCTTCTCTGAGGCAGCTTGACAGAACTTCTACAACACTCTCAAAACAAACACCAAAGTGGAATGGATCCCGTAGCTGAAAACAATTACATTAATGTAAGGAAAATGATATCAGGGGGTTTTTTTTAGTTTCCAGCAAAAACAACAACTGTGGGCAGAAAGTTTCAAACACTGTGAGGTGAAAGTTTTGACAATGAAGCCTGCGAGCATACACTGTTCTGGGTAATAGGGCTTCCCCTGAAGACTCATGTATGGAGTTTCTCTTAAAGTGTCTGCATACTCCACATTTAGGATTTGGATAGGGAAGGCTCTTTTAAAGAATGATCTCAACTGCCAAAGTGCACTTGAGGCAAGCCTCTCTCAACACGCATGCGAATACAAATACTGTACAATCCAATCACTTTAAAGGACAATGTCCTTAAGGCGGTTTAAAAAAAATATTCTATATAAGCAAACAAACAAAGCTCACTTATCCAGAGTTGCCCTCCAATTAATGGAAGGGCTCCCTTTATTTGTGGTAGGACTTTGCTCCAGCAGAGGTCAAACCCACCCTACAGTTCCAGAGAATCCCCATTCTCCCTGGGGAATCTTTGGAAAGCACGCAGATTAAGAATGTGTTGGGTGAAAATCCTTTCATTTCAAGCAGAGTATCGGCTAAATTTGTCTGAATCCAATCCACTGTCTTTTTAAAAATAACCTCTGAATCAGTCAGGGAAACAAGCAGCGGAAGTGGGAAGCATGGTTACAGCTAAGCTTTTTATTGTCCCAGGTATACAAAAAAGCAATTATGGTATTGTGAATGCTTGGAAAATATAGGAAACAAGTATATGACATTTGCAATGAAAAATTATTGCTTCTGAAGTGTCTCAGATTTGCTCAAATCTTGTTCATCCATGTGCAAAATAAATATATAGTTAACACTCATTGCATCCAAGCAACAGCCAAACTTGTACAATGTTCCCCAAATCTTGTTCTGTTAGCTCAGGATGACTGCCAGAAATCTAGTGGAAATCTTGAAACTTGAGGCTGTAATCCTAAGCATGTGTCTCTAGTCTAGAAGCAAGTCTCATTGAACACAATGACTACAGTCATACCTCGGGTTGAATACACTTCGAGTTGAGCGCGTTCGAGTTGTGCTCCTCGGCAACCCAGCAGTAACGGAGCACGTTACTTCTGGGTTTCGCCGCTTGCGCATGCGCAGACACTCAAAATGATGTCACACGCATGCGCAGACGTGCCGTTGCTACTTACGTTTACTTCTAGATGCGAACGGGGCTCCGGAACGGATCCCATTCGTATCTAGAGGTACCACTGTATAGAGTCATTTTTTTGTTAGTCTTCATTCTTTTTATAAAAAGGCTGCATGAAGAATTAACAGCTTCTGGAATATATTTTGTATATCTTTTGCTACCTTGGATTGTAGGCAACATTTATAGTTGAAGTGTGTGCTTATATTTCAGTATTTTTCGGTTTGTTGTACTATGAGTTGTAAATGGTGAACACTAAAAAGAGAAAATAGTAATTGCATTTTTAACAGGTTGAGTACATAAAACATGTTACAGAATTTTTTGTTTTAAATCAAAATCAGGTGTGGGTGTTTTTGTTTTGTTTTTTGCACTTGGTTAGTTTGCATCCATTCAGTTTGATACTGTAGCATCGTAGAAGGTTGCTGTTATACACAGAGATATCATGACAACTATATTCAAAGCACACCAAACTCTATCACAAAGGCAATTTCTGTGGCAATGTTATTTTAAAAATGCACTTTATGCAGAGGTGGGCAAAAGGCAGATCAAGATCTAGGATCTCCTAACAAACCTCAGAAGCAGACCAAAGATTTCCATTTCCCAAATATTTTAACAAGGGAAACAAAATGACTCTCACTGCCCCCATTATACTTCTAACATGAAAAGAGAAAGAGAGTTTGTGTTTGAAAGAGAGAGGGAGATTTGTGTGGAAGACTGAGCTCAGTTCAATTTTGGTACTCAAAATAAAAATTCATAGACTCAGAATTCTTTAATTCTAAGTAATGTTGTCTACCTGGCCCAGTTGGTGAATCTCTCTGTTCTATTAAAAAACAAAGTGGATGCAGCAAGCTTGAAATCTACCCTCCCTTGCTCTATGTATACACATACAGTTTTATTTTTGGTTGTGTAATGTATAGCTGCATGGGGTGAAAAAGGGTATATCCCTACAGTCTTTTAAAAACATTTAATGGCTTAAAGTTTATCCTTCTTACAGGGATAAGAAAACTTGATTTTAGATGGTCTATCCCAGGCATAGACTAGTTTACATGCATGGATGGTGTTGCTATCCTCCCACCCAAGTTCTTCTGAATTAGCTGTGTCTGTCAATAAGAGTCTTATTATAAGCAGTTTTCCAGAAATATTTTTTCATTTGCTATAAAAATAACTTATGTAATGCTTCTCCAGCTGAGCCTGAAATGTCTTCAACAGAGCATTTAATCAGTAACACGAGAAACTTGGGCTCAAGAACCCCAGCACTGTTCATAAGCCACTAGAGGCCAGCAAACCATGTGAGAAACATTAACATTGACAAAGAAGGAAAGTTGTGTCGTTTAGCTGTATTCCATCTCCTATGAACTGATTGCCATGGCACCACTTCTGCCAGAGAGTAAGAACAAATTGACCATTCACTCAAAAAATTTAAGATGTTCACATTGCACTTTCCCGGGAAGCTCAAACCCAAAAGATTACGCACACAAGTTAAGGCTGCAAACCAACAAATAAAATCATTAAATGTATCAGGAACCATTTCTAATAAATATATCCACAAAACAGCAGATACACAAACATGTACAGATACATTTCTGCTTCATTTCTTTCTAAATAATGTTAATGTAGGGGTGTGTGTGCATGCATGTTAAGACTAACAAAACCAGAAAAAAACCATGGCCCGGAAGCATTTTCACTGGATGGTAACATCTATGTCTTCCATCTGCATTCAGATTTTTAATTTAACTTTGAGACACAATGACACCATGGGGGCATCATCAATGTGTCTTCTGCATTCACGTATAAAGCATGCACCTCTTTAATCAGAGAGAGGCCTGAGCCCTTTCATATCTTATCTTTCTGCACCTGGTTGCTCCAGGAATGTCTCTCTTTTTCTGGCATCACTAGTGAAGTGATCTGATCTGATCTGGGGATTGTGACAAGCAGCTAGAGCAGCGGTCTTCAATGCCATATGCTATAACGACTGTTCAATTGCCCTTTGGAAAGGAAGCCCAGCACTATTGCAAGGAAGATCATTACCCTTCTTCAGGTTCAAGCTGCTGTTTCTAAGGGACTTAGTAGTCCAACTGCAACAAGAAATCCTTACTACCATTCCGGCTCTAAGTATGGAACTGGTCAGCAGGGAAAGGGTTTATCCCCACACACGTAGTGGGGCTGCCAATGTCCTCCAAATAACTCAGAAGCAAAACACAACTACAGTGGTACCTCGGGTTACATACGCTTCAGGTTACAGAATCTGCTAACCTAGAAATAGTGCTTCAGGTTAAGAACTTTGCTTCAGGATGAGAACAGAAATCATATTCCGGTGGCGCGGCGGCAGCAGGAGGCCCCATTAGCTAAAGTGGTGCTTCAGGTTATGAACAGTTTCAGGTTAAGTATGGACCTGTGGAACGAATTAAGTACTTAACCCAAGGTACCACTGTATGGGAAAGATCCACAGGCCTCTCCCCTATTCTAAATTTGACATCTCATGAGGAGGAACACGATTAGAAAAAAGATAAAGGGCAGAGCCTGGCCAAAAAAGGGAGGCAGAGAATGATCTGGTATGGACTTAACACTTAGCCATGATTTGTTTAGCTTGACTATGGTTTATGGAACTGTGGAATGTGCAAAGCCAGTCCAGCAATACCATGTTTTGTTGTTAGCTTACAAATCATGGTTTGCTATTGCTGTGGTTTGGTGTTATGTCTAAAACCAGCAGTCTTGTTTAACTATTGTTCGTTTGGCAACTGCATCCCAGATACTTGTCGAGCTACAAAGACAGGAGGCAAGAGCAGCTGGAAAACCACCCAAACTCTGGAAAAACAAGACACAGTGTGTTTGCATGGTTAAAACAAAGCATGGCTTACTTTTATGTTTACACGGCAGCCACTGAGTTTCTCCTTGTGTTTCTGCTGTGTAGGAATTGTACAGAGGAATAAAAACCCAATAAGTGCATATGTGTGAACTCACCCTTCAGCAATACCGAGAAGCCTGCAACTTGGATTTTTAATGTTATTCCTAAATCTCCAAAAAGGCTTCCTAGTAAGCGTGCTGTGAAACATTTCTCCATCTGCTTGCTACCAAGCCAAGAAATACCAGACCATTCTACAAGCACCAAAACACCAACAATTATCTCTTCTGGCCAACAATGCCAATTTCAGCTCAGCACTGTAAAAATCATGTTTTCTATTTCCATCTTTGGAAGTAAAGGTTCAATAATTTATGTGACAGATGTGCAAGACAAACTGAAATGAAAGAGATAAGCCAAGAAAAACATCCTGATGTCTACAACTGAGTTATGGCTTGGGGGAGGAAGGAACTATAAAAGCTATTTCCTGCTCCTCACAACTTTTTGTGATTTAAAAAAAGTACCAAGAAAACAAGATAGCCCATTATTCAGAACCCCTCTTTCTAAGCTTTCAGAACAGCTGAAAACTGAGATCATAGGTTTCATTCTGGTCTCAGCCCACAGCGCTAGAAACTCTTCGTTGTTAATGAAGAGCTTCCCTTTCAAGCTGAGTGTTCAGGTTATGAAACCAGTCTCTCAGAGCTTCCACATTTATCAGAATGGTTTAGAGAAGTTTGAAAGATTAAATATGAAGGTGAGGTCTTTTAGATAGCCCTTTGATTAAAGCTATTATTTTTTTGGCAGAGCTCTTTAAAGGCCACAAAGGGCTCGCTTCCTGTATTGTAAGGGAGGAAGTTGCCTCCTGCTGGTAAGGTTTTAAAAGTTATTTGGCGGAGGGGAAAAATCCCATCAGATTGATCTTTCCTATCCATTGTAGGTCATTTTCACCAATGAATAGAGAATGAACATAGGACAAGAATGTGAACTTTGTCCTTTTAGCACTTTAGCTCCTTTAATTCTTTGCCTTTCAAGCCCTGTATCTTCTCATTCACTGTTTTTGTCACTTTAACCTTAAGTACACCATGAATTATGTTTCAAGGCATATTCTTGTGGAGCATTCTGCATCAGGTGAACTAACAATTTTTTTTAAAAAAGCAAGAGATCCTGTGGCACCTCAGAGACTACCGAGTGATTCATTGCAGCGGAACCTTTTCATAGCCATGGGCCCACACCAAGTCTGTAGTAACTTGCAAGAAAGTGGGACACTGGGTTTTAAAGGATACACTTCACATTACTGGCCTAGTGAAGGGGTTCTGATCAGGTAGGCTGTACCCTGTCTATGTGTCCTTTGCAATGTGTACTCAGCAATTAAAGAGAAGGAGGGAGGGAGGGAGGGAGGGAGGACCCCAAAGCAAGCCTATGCACTGAGGAAAGCTGAATTCTGCAACCGAATTAAATTACAGAAATTTAGCCTTTTTAGCCTCCTGGAATGCTCAGTGGCCATGAGAGTGCCAAGGAGCCACAAAGAACACTGAAGCTCCACCCACTGACCTTGTGTTATGTCTTTCCGTGTGGCCCAAGGAGTATAGAAGATAACAATCATATCTTCTATTTTGGATTTGTACAGACAACATTGATTACACCGGGCAACAATTTTTTACTTTTTGAATGTTGTCTAGATTTCTACAACTGATTTAGGGTATTTTTGCACTGCTGAATCAGGAAATGGCATCTGTTTCGCTCCATCAGGTCAGGTTTTTGTGCTATGTTGATTTGAAAAAATCAGATCTTGTGACAAAATCGATTACATTTTTGTGGCATTATCAGCTGTTTTTTGTCAACACATATCATCCTAAATATGATTTTACGAGAAAAAAATGTTTTTCCAACAACATATATTGATTACCTGATAGAAACATCGATTACTGAAAACTGAATGGTGGGCATTGATAAAGGTAAGTACACGTAAATTACATGTTGCTTCACCATTTTTCAAACTTCAGGGCTTGAACTTCCGTTTCTTGGAACTCCTGGAATGCTCAGCGGCAGGGAGGTCTCTCTTCAGAGTCCAACAGTAGTCAGCCATCATGACTGCATCCCAGCGACCCTGATACCTGGTCTCCATCTCTTTCATGTCCTGATGGAATCTCCCCCTGCTCGTCACTCATTGAACCCAGGTTCTCAGGAAACCGGTCCATATGTGAAAATAGGTAGTGCATCTTGACGTTCATGTTGCAGCCCAGGTTTCTGAAAGCAGTCAGCATGTTGTTGACAAGTTCTGCGTAGTTTCTGGCCTTATTGTTGCCAAGAAAGTTCTTCACTACCAGAACAAATGCCTTCCACGCTTCCAGTTCCACTTTGTTCATTGAGTTTCCGAACTCTGGATCTCTGATGAGCTGACGGATCTGAGGACCGTCAAAGATGCCAGCTTTCAACTTCTCCATGGTCAATCCTGGAAAAGCCTGGCACAAGTAAGTGAAGCAGTCACCATCCTTGTCCAGAGCCTTGGTGAACTGCTTGACTAAGCCGAGCTTGATGTGCAGCGGTGGGAAGAGTATTCTGTCTCTGTCCACCAGAGGGTCGTTGATGACGTTCCTTTTTCTGCAAGGCACCAATTCCTCCCGCACAGGCCAGTCCTTCTTCGTGTAATGCTGAGCACGGTCCCTACTATCCCACATGCACAGAAAACATGGGTACTTGGTGAAGCCAGACTGTTGTCCCAACAAAAAGTTCACCATCTTCAGGTCAACACAAATAAACCACTTATGCTGATCATAACCAATTTTCTCCAGCACATACTTCACCCCTTCATAGTTCTCCTTCAGTGTACTCGAGTGAGCCAGGGGTTTTGATCCCCCAACTTTATGCTTTGCCGCACCAATTTATGGAAGATTTCGAGGTTTTATGACTTCAAACTGACCTCTTTTCGACATAATCACCCAGAACTATCAAACCTGAATACTTCTTGTCATTAAAATAATAATTTCCAATCAAAACAATTATTCGACATGGCATTTTACCCCCACCAACTTCTTCTAAAATGCTCCACACAAGCGTACATGTGAACAAAAATGTAAAAAAACGACATGTGGCCATAACTCAAAAACTTGACCTGATTGAGCAAAACCAATGTGATTTTTGGATTCAGCGCATCAGATTCGTCCTAAATCAGCTGAAAAAACGCAGACAACAAATTTGTTGTTGACCAGTGTTATCACAGTAACATTTGTTCTTCATTGTGTGGTAAATGCAAGACTAAAGCTAGCAACTTGGTTCTGACAGAATGGGAAACCATGCTTTCCTGCTATGGGAAGAAGCCAGAACAAACCATCCTTCAGAGGAAGATCAAGTGTCTACTCTCAAACTTAAAATTAAAGCACAATTATTCATTATGTCGAAATTCAGGAAAACTGGGGCTTGCTAAAACTATGTTTAGCAATAACAAGCAAACATAAAACAATAGTATGATCTAGCTGTAACTCTGAACAGTAGTGTGCCTGTTAACAGATGAGGCTATAATGCAACTCTGCCCCACTTGTCTCACTTCTAGTAATGCTAACAAAGCTCTATACATTAAGTGTCTTGAACTCCATACCCTAACTGCATTATATTTACAGAAAGGTAGGAGACCCAGAAACACATAAGTGTTTGACAAAAAAGAATCTGGCATGAACACTTTTACAAAGTTTGCTGCTCCACACAAAAACATACAGTAATGTGTACCTCATCTTCATACAATGTTGTTCAATGGACAATCTTAAATGATGAGGATATTGGCCTTTTGATGCCAGGTAATGGGCTCCCTTGGTAGTGTTCCATTAGAGATTACACCAAGCTTTGCTAAGGAGATCAAGACCATGTGATTAAGTCCTACTGCCAGATTACTAGTAACAAAGCATGCCAAATAAAGTTATGAAAGTAAAAATATTGTGGAGGGATAGTATTAGCTGAATGATTAAAATCCAGGAGACATCGCTTCACAACACCAGAAATTCCAGCCTTTGGAGGTAGAGAGAAAGAGAGAGAGAGAGTAAATAACAATTCCAAAACCTTGAGCATCACAGGACTTGACTTCAATCTTTTAAAGTTAACTCAATCTGTTGAGCTAGTGGATGGGGAATTTAGAGCTGAATTTCCCAACACTGTCCTAAGCAGTTTAAAGTTCAGTGTATATTTGCAACACTTCAATACTTATGAAATCAACTATACATTAATCCTTCTTACCTAAAGCACTGGTACAGCTCCTAACCAGATTAAATTTTAGTAAGGCATTAGCATCAGACATTTTTCAATACCATTATGTTCCCACTTCTGACCAGAACGGAAATTTCAAAGGGTGGCTTTTATATATGAATGTTCTTATTCACCAAAGACTGCCCCTTCAGACAGGACTTCATTTTATTTAGCACCCATGTTAGTCTCCAGGCAGTGTTCGAAACTCCCATTGTTCTAGGAGCATTTTGCGACAGGGAATTTCATTACTGCGAGAGCAGTTTCTGAGCTCTATGCCCATAACCTAGGTTTAAGGTGCCATTTAGTTTCAAGCTGTCATATCTGTTTCTAACACTGTTTCCAGGGTAGTTTTCCTAGTATTTGCAAGCTGCATAATCCTCACATAACTTCCTGAACAGTGATGAATTTTTATCAAGTACCATTAAAAACTCAAGTGCAGCTAGTTCTCTTCCATGGTCTGCATGTCTGCTCTAGAAATTCTCCAACATCCTGCCATGTGAATATTAATTAATTCCCCACCTCCATATCTAGGGATCACCACTATTCTCAACCCTGTTTTATCACTTCTCTAGCCTTCATTTTTATATATTCAAAGTATATTAAACTGCTTAAGTCTTTGTATGCTGCCTTCCCAAAGCTTAAAGCTTGCTCAAGGTGGCTTACACCATATAAATAATTACATCCAGTCCCCCTTCTTTTTAAGTCTCCAAATATACAGAGCAGGCATCTAATTGGTTTCAAAAATTACTACTCAAACTAGCCTTAGAAATTAAAAAAGTGTCACTGAGAATTACTACCCAAGAGCAATCATCTACTAAAATATACAACTCTTCATTTCCCTTTTTTACTTCTAAAAATTGGTAGCACAATTCTAGACAAGAGAGGTATGTTGTAAACTGCATCCTAATATCTTGGCATAATACACCAACAACATATTTTTCATGATCAACGTCAAAATTTTATCTACAAGAGCCATCAGATTCTTCTAGCTCTGCCCATCAGGGAAACAGGTACATGTATGCCCACTCGCATCTCCAATAAAACAAAGTGCATGAAATGTGTAGGGGAAGAGTAACTGCAGCAAACATGGAGGTGGAGCTCATAAAAGGCAGAGGGGTGAAGCTAGAAGAACAGAAGATGACAGTGCCTTCAGATGTGATTTGAATGGAGATTTTTCTGCTTTTAGGTAGTAACTAATCATTCAAACATAGCAGAACTACTGAAATTCTTGCCAAATGACACTTAATAACTAGAGCTTCTTACACTATTATGATGACCGTAATTTAGCTTTTCCACTCTCCAATCTAATTAAGGATAAAGAGACTGTTAACGTAAGAGAGAGACATGGCAAACCGCTTGAAACACTTGCTTTAAATATGAAAAGCAGAGTTATAATTGGCAAGCGTAAGCTCTTTTTTGTAGGGCCCAAGGTTAAAACTAAAGTCTTCTAGCTTTTATTAAAGGTAACACGTTATTTGCTTCCCAGAGTAGAATCTATGAAATGGATCCTAAGTTCCTGCGAATGGGATACTACTTCTGGTTGTGAGCTGGGAGAGCGACTAGGTTTTCACCTACAGTCATACATCATGTTGCGTCTGCTTCAGGTTACCTCTTTTCAAGTTGCGTCCCATGGCAACCCGGAAGTAGCGGAACGGTTACTTCTGGGTTTCACCGCTCGTGCATGCACAGAAGCGCTAAATCGTGCCACGCACATGCGGCACTTTTGGGTGTGGACGCTCTGAGTTGCGGACATGTGCCCGGGATGGATTACATCCGCAACTCGAGGTTCCACTGTACTCCCCTTTTCACCATCAGCTCCCTGTGCCCTCCAAAAATCAGCTTTGGGGGGTTGGGAACCACCCAGAACAACAAAGCAAATGACATTGGGGGCTGCAAAAGAAGAAGGGGGATATCACTGAACATTACCTTCCACCCCCTTCTGCCAGTGGGGACCTTCACTCGACTGTGTTTCCAAAAAGGGAAACACAAAAAAGGGAAATGCTTCTGCTATCAACTACTACCAGCAACTGCAGGCTATACGGCACATCCTTAATCAGAACTAACCAGGGTGCTGACTGGTCCTAAATTTATTCATTCTTCAGTAGCCATTTTGGCTCTGGTGTGTAAAAGCAGCCTATAGTAGCTAAGTAAAGGTAAAGGGACCCCAGGCCATTAAGTTCAGTTGCGGACGAGTCTGGGGTTGCGGCACTCATCTCACTTTACTGGCCGAGGGAGCCGGCGTTTTTCCGCAGACAGCTTCTGGGTCATGTGGCCAGCATGACTAAGTCGCTCCTGGCAAACCAGAGCAGCAGCACACAGAAACGCTGTTTACCTTCCCACCGGAGTGGTACCTATTTATCTACTTGCACTTTGATGTGCCTTCGAACTGCTAGGTTGGCAGGAGCAGGGACCAAACAATGGGAGCTCACCTAATCATGGGGATTTGAACCGCCGACCTTCTGATTGGCAAGTCCTAGGCTCTGTGGTTTAGACCACAGTGCCACCTGCGTCCCTATAGTAGCTAAGGAACCATCTTTAAATATGAAAGGGTAGGATGCAGAGTTTTGGGCAATTCTCCAAGCCAGAGATGGGAACCTCCAGTCCATGGCACTAATAATGTCCACCAGGCCTCTTAATTTGGGCTGCAAGACATTTTTGTGCAAACTACAGCCACCTTTCAATCACCTGATGTTATACAATGTCAAGCAGATCTATTACTGATGTAAGAACTAAATGCTAAAATCAGAGCTAAGGGATCTCTTATCTCCAATCCTAGTGCTAAGTGCCACAGTGCTAAGGCAGAAGACAACCCTCTGTCTGTTCGCAGCATTTCTCTTCTCTCTGACCACAGCACTAAGATCAGAGGTGCTTGGTAAAAGGCAGAAAAGGCTTATCTCCAGTCAAAGAACTGTCAAGAGTGAAGCACTAAGATAAAAAATGAGCCTGTGCCTGCTCCCATGTTGAAATTTGAATCATCTGACATCACAGGACATCAGGTGATGGAGAGTGGGCCAGTTTTAGATGCTACCCAATGCCCATTCTCTACCCGACTCCCTGCCTTTATATTCATTGAAGACATGCCCTCAGGCACAGCAAGGGGCAGGCCTGCTATTCTTGGCCAGATTCAGCCCTTCCTCCAAACATGGAAACTAGGAGTACAGAAATGCAAAGCTTTGCCCTGGATTCCATTTCTTGGATATGTCTGGAGTATAGAAAACTGAGACTTCCGGGGTGGCGCCTCCGGAAAATGGCGGAATTCCCTTCAGACTGAAGGGAACCCGCTGCACGGAGGCTTGGGTCCTGCCGCTACGGCGCAGCGGGGACCCGCAAAAACCACAGGCGGAAGAAGCCTGTGGACGTGGGACACGGCGGGCACCGAGGGCGCTCTCTCCCCTGGTACAGGAGCCCGGTAACGGGCTCCGGAGTGGAGGTGCGTGGTGCTGTGAGTCGACTGCTTCCTCCGTGCATCAAAGCCGCACTGCCGTTATCGGAGAGCGATGCCTTTTCCTGGACAATTTGGCATCTAAAATATCTATCCGTGAGTACCTGATCTTGGAAGAGTTGAACCACTTTTAAGACTGGTGAATAAACAAATAATATTGGACTTGAAATTGAACTTAATTGGGACTCGGAATGGGAAGGTCTAAACAGGAAGTCGCCTTCCGTTCTTTTGTTATGTGAAGAAAGCAAAGACAAAATATACTAAAGCTTGAAAATTAAATTCTAAGAGAACTAGAATTCAACATCTAAGATTTCTGAACCCCCTTTGACTGCAGGAGAAGAAGGGGTTGTATTTGGACTTTTCAATCCTGCGGAAGTGAGTTTAAAATAAAGCAATTTTCCACCGCCCTGAACCAGGAGCGGGCTGTCAGAATTGACGTTCTGAAGTTTATCCAGCTCGACAGTTAGTTAAAAGAAGGGTAACATTTTGATTCTACTGTTGCCTCTTGAATTTGGAAGGGGAATTTTGGATAAAGTGTTTCTGGAAAAGAAAGATTGTTGCTGTTGCTTTTATTCCTTTAAAAAAAAAAAATTTCCATCTAGTGGAATTTAGTGAAATTGCAACGCAGAGAGATTAAAAGAGAAGGACTATTGGACTATTGTCGTGGGAAAGAATTTTCTTTGACCTTGAAGGACAATGCTAGTACAAAGGCTTGAACAATTGTTCCTGGAAGGTTTTTCAAAACTAAGTGCCCAGCTGGACCAGATGCGTCAGGAGACGACCTTGATGATGGAAGTTACCAGAGCACAGCAGCAAACAAATGAAATTCAGTTAAAGGCTATACAAGCATATGAACCTGCTGTAGTGACGGAGGCTTCAGAGATGGAGGGACCTTTGGACGGGCAAGATCAGCCTTTGAACTTGATAAATGAACTTGGGACAAACCAGATTCGGAAAGATGAAATGTGGTCAGATTTGGAAATGGGGGATGGATCGACCCCTCCATATGGTTATTTGGACCTTCCGAGTCTGGTGATGGGCTATCAGAGGATTGGAGTAGCTGAAGTCTCCAAGCTTTGTGGAAATTTGAAGTGGTATTATTTGCTGTCTGGCTTGGGCAATGGGTTTGGGATGGACTTGCTGCAAAGGGTCAAAAGCATTTTCTTGCTGGAGCATCCACGACTGGAAAGGAATCATCAACAAGAGTGGCGAAAGGGGCAAGAAAGAGACTTGAGGGCCTCGGATACGAGACAACCAGGTTAAGGAGCCGGATTATCGAGGTTAAAAGGACTGACAATCCCGGGTCCAGGGGAGGGGAGGTTGGAAGCTGACTGGACTGAATTTGACTTATTTTTTTATTTTATTTTTTAATATTGGGAATGCTTACAAATGTTTGAAGGATGTTGAATGAAATTACATGGCTTAAGTAAGGATTGGTAAATGATTCGTAAAAAGGTAATGATGCAAGAATTTGGTAAATATTGAATATAAGCTATGAGTTTTAAAGTTTTTATATGACAAGAGGGAAAATAGAATAAGGAAACGTAATGACAGATTGTTATGAAAAACAGAAAGGATTTGCTGTAAAAATTAAAAATTAAGAAACAAAAGAGGGGAGGAGGAGGAAGTCTAGAAAGGAAGTCAATAGAGATTGTAAAGGACTTTATATTTTTGTTTTTCTGTTTCTCTTTTTTTTTCTTTGCGGCTGGGTTTTCTTTTCTTTTTTGTTTATGTACTATTTTTGTTTTTTGTATCCCCAAATTTTTTTTGGGAAATTTTTGTTGTTATTCTTTGAAAATTTAATAAATATCAATAATAAAAAAAAATGGAGTATAGAAAACTGGTTTTAGTTCATCAGTTTTGGAAGTATATCCAATATAATCTTCCCTTCCTTCAATTTGTGGTATCTTTTGTCTACAGCCGTACCTCGGAAGTTGAACAGAATCCATTCTGGAAGTCTGTTCGACTTCCAAAGCGTGGCTTCTGATTGGCTGCTGGAAGCTCCTGCAGCCAATCAGAAGCCCTGTTGGACGTTCGGTTTCGAAAAGAATGTTTCACTTTCGGTTTTTGATCGTTCAGGAGACGGAACGTTCTACTCCCAAGGCATTCGGGTGCCGAGGTACGACTGTATTGTATGTTCTGATCTTTGAGATAAACTTTGACCTTTTTATTGTCCAAAAAAAGGCACTTACCTTGCTGCTATGGTAATACATAATTTTTATCTTACATCTTATTAATACTGCACTTTTAAATTTGTTAGTAAAAATTCTGTATTATAAAATGCTTACCAAAAAGCAGTGCAATGAGCTGTTCAGAGTAAGAAACAGGTTCACATTTGCTCTGCAGTAACTATACCAGTGGCTGCATTTTCAGGAAGTGGTGAATTTCATTCCAAATCCTTTTATTATTTCAACTAGCTACAAATACAACTAAGCCTGCTAAACAAGCCTCCATCAATAGGCATTTGCAAAGTAGTTTTCTTTAGGAGGCTACACCCTCCTTATCATCAGAACAATGTAAGTCTCCTCCTCTTTCAGATAGCATTTGTAAAACTGGTTGCACTAGATGCTTAAACAACCACAAGAGTCCTAGAATGACAGCTTGTGACAGTTTCACTTGGCATGTTTTTCATTCAACAGTCAACCAAGCAAATTCATGAAAAAATAACCTACCAGATGGTAGCCTGTTTTTAGTGTAAGCTTGCCTAGTTTCCAAATTCTACATGTATCTAACCTTTTCAGCTAGACCCACTAGCTAGTCAATAAACTATCAGCGTGATAAGATAAATTCAGTAAACTTCTTATAACAGTAAACTTCTATATTGTGAAATCACTCCAACAGTTCTGTACAACAAATCAGAATCATAATAACCATTACTATATAAAAAGTCCTTGCAGTTACAGCAACATAACAGGCAATATATCCACTAGCAACTAGCCTCATTGCATCAACGTCCTCCAAAAGGATGAAGAGGCAGGTCCTCTGGAAAGCTCTCAAGAACTATTCCATGCTCAGATGTTTGGGGATGTTTTCAGGAAGTGGAGAAGCAGCAAACTCATGGGTGCATTTGTAGACATTTGCACATGATCATAGTTATCACTTATTTTTGGAAGATACTTGAAGAAGAAATAATTACCAGCATGATATATAATCAATATATACCAGTAAAAATATATACCCTGCATAGCATGTCTGGGGAGCATTGCTAGAGTTTCTTCCTTATCCAGCTGTTATTTCAACTTGTGTTGAACTTGAAGGAATGTTTCACTTTTAAATGCTCCCTTTCATTCACCAACGTATTCATTAGTCACATGAAGAAATACACTGACTAGTCAATCTCTCCCTTGCCTACAATGTGAAACATATTTTATGCTATAAGATGGAACATAAGAACATAGCCATAATGTTGAAACACCCTCTAGGGTACTATGTGGTTTTAGGGCCGCTCAGTTTTTTGGAAGCCCCAATGTACAGAGGACTCGTGAAGTAACATGAACAAAGAAATGTTAACCATTTACCAGTACTGCACACTAATCTGAAAAAAAAGCTTGAGGAAAACTTAAGACTCAAGTAATATATAAATAAGCCAGAGTACCATAGCACAACCCTAGGGTCTGTCAAGACTGGCCCATACGGGCAGGGGTACCTTTACCTTTTTACCATAGCAAAGGAGGCGGAGGCTCTGAAATTAAAGAAGAGTATTAACTTTCAGTAGAGTGGTTTCATGTGAAAATAAAGTCAAATTGTTTATTTAATAGGAACATGCATTGGTATTTTTACCAATTCTGAGTTGGTAAACTCAAAATATAAGATATAAAGAAGACTAGGTTTTAACAGCAAATTTGAAAATGGTTCTGCACGTTAAAGGCGTGTTGCTAAACTCCCTTTACTTCAATGATTACTTCAAGCAGATGGCCTTTAATGTCACCTCACACATACCGCCACAGTGGTTTTATGCTGTCCTGTTAGGCCATTACTATCAGCATCACCACTATTCTTACTCTCACCTGTCAAATTAAATGCGTGAAGTCCAGAGGCCTGGAACAGATGACTGGTTTCTTAAACGGGCCCCAAGCAAAAAGTGGAGGGATTTATTCTCCCCTTGATGTACGTAAGAAATGTTAAGGCAGTACAAAGCAATTCAGAGGCGTTCACTGTTGGCCGCATAAAACCATCATCATGTAGTTACCAAAAACTACAGGGAGAAGCAGACCATGAAAAATTCTACTCTCTCACCTCAATAATGAAGCTTATTCTTCAATAAAGGGCCAGAGAGAATTAATGCTACCCCTTTAACATCTTCACTTATAGTGAACAAAGAGGCTCATGCTGCCACATACCAATTAATCTAAACTTAACAGCTAGTGCTTTTCACTAACTCCACAACCCATGCTGCCCTTTAATTTCAGCTAATAGCCTTCATGAAGAAGTCAAACTATTTAGCTTTAATTTAGACAACTTCAGTGATTGCATAGAAGTTAACTGCTGAAAGGAAAAACAACCTTGATTAAAAATCAGAAAGTATGTTGGAAAGGTATGACTAGTAACGAGTTTGTGGCTAAATGCCTTGCTCATGTGCACTGCCTTGCTTACAATACACAGCAGAAGGCCACATGACTTGAAGGAATTAAGAGTTTCCTGGTTCAGGAAAGTTTAACCATGGCTGACGCAATCTTAATGCCATGTGACCACCCAGTGAGTTCAATCTCTCTTTTTGTTGGTTATTCCCAGAACACTTAACAGTAGGAATACATAACTTCTGAGTGCCAGATCCTTGTCAAATCTGGTTTTGTCACTGTTCTGGGTCAGGAGGTCAGCATTTGGCAGATCACAATAAATGGTAGGAGGGCAGCATTCAGCTTAGTGGGCAACAAAAACGTCGGACTGATAGAACTAGGTGATACGACTTCTTGAATGTATATTAAGTGCTTTGCACAACATTTTAAAACCAGCCACAAGCATTATGATCCTTCTATCTGATAATCCCATATCAAGATTTTCATAAACTAATGATCTTTCCTCAGACATCACCTGTTCCCAGATGATGATGTATTTCACCAGAAGGCACCCAAGGGTAGGTTTCCTGAAACTGACTATGCCCAGTCCCACTTTAAGAACAATTTTCTGCAAAGTTTGCTGTTTTTCTGCTTGTATGGGAAAACAGCAATTCCATGGCTAGAAAAATCAACATAGCCATGTTACTTCTGCTGCACAGGAGCCAAGAGATATGCAGGGATCATGGCACAGTATTCAGACAAGGCTTGTTATCACTTTAAGCGCTCACTTAGCTAGTATTAAAAATATGCAAGTTAGCCATAATGGAAATTTAATTTGAGCTGTAGAGTGATGCCTAACTGGTCTGTCAGGAGGGCATTCTCCTTTCCCCAGAATGCACAATCCATAGTAGGACTACTTGTTGGTTCTTAGCAGCGAGGCAAAAAACTATACTCAACTCATTCATCTTCATCATTTAACCTAGCTATAGAATACATGCTGTCACTCAAAATAAAGTTTGGTGTTAAGCTACAAAGGACCTTGGATCAAATCAAGGCCTGCATATAATCAACATGGTCCTCATTCATCATTTTATTCAAAAGCAACATTTGATAAAAATCACTGAAAGTCCACCCAATCATGTAATGCAGAGGTCACCAATACATCTTTCCGCAGGGCCTGTAAGACGGAGTTGTTCCGCCAGGCCTTTGGTCAGGGCTCAGCCTGACTCCCCTTCTCTTTTTGTATAAGAACTGGTATGAAAGAGGCCTCCCAGCATTCTCACGGGCCCATATAAGAACAGCGTAAACAGTTGGGCCTGATGAACATTTACTGTTCCCAACCCTAATCCTGCGGAAAGCCATCTAATTAGATTTTAATTTGATCCTGACTTGTTTTTAGAAGGTAATTTAATTATTGTTTGATTTTATACCAATGTTATACATTTGATGTTAGCCACTCTGAACCCAGTCTCAGCAGGGGAGGGTGGTATACAAATAAAAGTTTCAAATGTAGTCCTCCTGGGAAGAAGGTGATCAGACAAAATGTGCAGGTACCTTCCAAGCAATTTCTGAGAAATGTGACTGTAGTGTGAAAATGTTAAGTATTTTTCCTGGTACTGAGGAATGTTCTTTGTTGCCAATAGGTCGCAACTGCATCCCTCAGTGTGTAAAATAAATACTCTGTGATCTCCACAATCAGGACCAAGAGGATACTGCTGACTAACCATGGCACGCATAAGGTGGTTTTGTGTTATGCCATGCTCCCCACAACAGCTTTTTTGTGTTATGCCCCCCTGCCCCACCACACAGCAGCTATTTTACTATAGGTGCCCAAAGCACCCTCTCAGAACTTTAGATATGTCTACTGGTCCAAAAAGATTGATAACTCTTGATCTCGTGCCACTGGATTAGCTATGATGGAGACTGCAGCTGAAGTTCATCTTTGGACTCTGATTATTGGTTTAGGCTAAGAAATTCTAGAAGAAGCAGGTATCCGAGAGACCACCCTAACCAGTATATGCCCAGAATATTACTGCTTTCTGTAGGAGGGTTTTTCCTTAAAGTCCTAAAAAATTCTGAAGCCTCCACCACAGTAGCTCATAGGAATGCTTTCAGTGTGAATGTCCCTGTTTGTGGAACAGCATCCCTACTGAGACATGACAGGTGCTCCTCATTTGTACTTTCTTGAAACACAATACATTTTTATTGTGACAGATGGATGGAAAAGTTGCGGCCTTACAACTTTGAGTGTTTTTTGTATTTTTTAAAAAACAGAATTTAGTTGTTTTTATTATACTTATTATATGTTTGCAAATCATATCAAGACATATGGAAATCACATTGAGACACATGTAAAAGGAGACCCAAACATTAATAAATAATAATATTTGAATTTACCAAAAAAAGGGACAATGATTTACAAATAAAGCCTGCGTATGTGTAGCAGAGAAGTGGCACTAAAGGAAGGAGGACCTGAACAGGAGCTAAAAGGCCGCATGGTAAAAGCCATGCACACAGAAGCCTGGCAGATAGAAGTAAAGAGGTGTCTAGGTTGCAAAGAGAATATAATTAGAGGCATGATTTAAGAAGCATAAGAAGCACACCCACCTTTTAAAGCCTCTTGTGTTAGTGGCAGATTCAAGGTGTACACACTTAATTTTTAGAAAGAAGTGTTTCTCCAAAGAAGCACTAACTAAACTGCAATTTCCAACATGTTATCTAGATCAGTGTTCTCCTTGGTAGTGAATACTTCGCTGAGCTTCCAGATACAAGGACATTGACAAAAATACTGCCTGTGAAAACAACCTGATAGACATTCTTATTTTTTATGCATGCATTGACTACAATGTTTTTAAAATCTCTTTATAGAGACCTCACTAAGTTCCTTCTCTCACAGGAGAGCTAAGCAGACACAACTAGGCTGGAGAACTATCAACACTTTGCATGTAAATGCACCATTGTTTGTTTGGTGGCTTTTGTTGTTGTTTTTGAAAGCACCCCAATAGGTCATTGTTCCTCAGCATTATCAGCAGCTGGAGAGGTTAGCTCACACAGCGGAGGGTTAAATGCCGCCTAAATACCATGATCAAACTGTCCCCTAGCATTAAGATTGATGTCTTATGCTGACCCAAATAAATCTTGTATACCAAGTAATGTTAGATGACCCTGTAAAAAGGAAGTTTTCAGGTAGGTTAAATAGCAGGAGATAAATACGAGGCTGTAATTTTATCATCAGCTGAATAATGTAATCTGACAGATCACTCATCATAACCTTTATATATGCTGTTTCTAGGCCAAGAAGTAGAACCTACTCACTGAATAGCTCATAATACCATGCAGACAACTCAAAGACACCTGCCCTCAAAAGAAAATCTGAATGAAGAAAATATTTTGAAATATTGCAAACTTACATACTCTCTCACTATTGGAGTGACAACCTAACAGTTTATAATGCAGTTACCCTCTATTGCAGGGTCACCATAACCAAACTGCTCTTACCATTGTACTCCCAACTTTACTGTACACTTGTGAAACATAGACCACTTATAAAAGCCATCTCTAACTCCTTGAAAGATTTCATAATGGTGTCTCTGAAAAATTTTACATATCACCTGGGAAGACAGGCAAAGTAATGCCAGTGTACTGGAAGAAGCAAAGATCACGAGTGTTGACGCAATGATTATTCAACATCAACTTTGTTGATCTGGCCATGTTGTTTGGATGCCTGATTATCATCTTCCAAAGCAACTGCTCTATTCCCAACTTAAGAATGGTAAGTGTAATGCCAGAGGACAACAACAGAGGTTTAAAGACGCTCTCAGGGCAAATCTTAGTATAAACGCGAACAACTGGGAAACACTGGCCTGTGAGCACTCCAGTTGGAGAACAGCCTTCACCAAAGGCATCATGGATTTTGAAGAAGCACGAATTCCGGATGAAAGGGAGAAACAAGCTAAGAGGAAGGCACGTTTGGCAAATCCTCACCATGATCAACTCCCACCCAGAAACCTATGTCCCCAATGTGGAAGGACGTGTGGATCCAAAATTGGCCTCCACAGTCACTTTTGGACAAACTGCTACGACCATTTTCATGGAAGACAATCTTACTCAGCTACGAGTGATCGCCAAAGAAGAGATCATTGAAATAAATTTGATTATGGCCCAGAAGTAAATGGAAATGAGGCTAGAGGGCACAAGTAAAACTGGCTTTTTAATGTTCCTGGAAGAAAACTGGGTATCCTCATAGCTGTAGTCATCAATTTATGAGCCGCTATCAACTTGAACCAAACAACAACAGTAGTTAGTAATAGGTGACTGAAATAAGAGAGACATGATTTCAAGAAAAAGTACAAACATATACAGCCCGTAATATGAGGAAATGTAAAGAAAAAGTGAGACTGTCAAGTAAAACTTAAACCCACTACTGATTTAGTGATCTCAGCCTTCTCAGTATTCATGAATAGTATGGTGTCAAATATGTATGACTCTTCACTACTTCACGTCCAGAAGTTCTGAATAACCCGTTTCCAGGTTTTGTTTAAAAAAGAGACTCTTCCAGGAGGGCAGGAGGGAGATAATATACAATCATATGTACAATACATGCATGTGTGTGTGTTTGTCTGTATGTGTACAGACAAAACACTAGGTACTTTTTAAGCGCAATATTAACTTTGGCACTCTTACAAAAATAAAAATCTTTGTTTTATTGAAACTTATTACAAATACACCTGCTGTTCAAGACAGCTCTATCAACTGCTGCGTTCTATGAGTTGCATTCAGCTGCGTCACTCAGCTGATGGTAAGGCTTCTGTCAGCAAAACACAGAGGAGGCAAATGTCAACAATTCTACCCCACCTCTGCAGCCCCCATGTCCTCCATAAATCTGCTTTCGAGAGACTTCAAACCTCTGGAGCAGATTTTAAAGCGGGGTGGGCTGCAGTGTGGGGACACTGAAAATGGCTTCCTTCCCCATTCTACTGACCTTACCATCAGCTGAGCAACAATACTGGATACAACTAAACCTGCCACTGTTGAATACAGAATAATGCAAGTCTGTACATGCCTAATCAGAAATTAGCCCCTGCAAATTCAATGAAACTTGCTTCCAGGTAGGTTTTCGCAGAATTGCAATCCAAACACATCTTCATTTTGCCATTTGGAAACCTTCATTTTCTGTGCTGTAAGTTTATTACAATCTGGGTTTGAAAACAGTATGCACAGCCTGAGGTTGTGGACATGAACCTTGGAAATGTGAAAGCCACCACATGAGTGCTAGAGTCCTTCCTGGCTCATTAAAAAGGCCAGTGGGGACAGATAATGGTCAATGCCTTCTTACAACATGTCAGGGTTCCAGCATGCTTAAAGGAGGCAGTTGGGGTTTTTTTAAGCAAGAAAACATAGAAAATAAAAGAATGTTGCTATAATGTAATTATGAAGTAGCAATAAATCTGTATAGTCAGTTAAACTTCATTAGATTGTGAGCCAGTAGTACATCATTATCATATACAGCGTGTGTCATGGTAACTGGAGACAAAATTAGCTATCCTCAACTCATATTTATTTATATCCTGACTCATCCAAGTAAATAATATATTCTTGTAAATACTAACATAACTCAAGTTGATTATAATTTATAGAGAAATAAGCATCTGAAAGATCCATGACGTCTTATCTTGAGACTTCAAGCTAAGCTTCATGGACTCAGAAAATGGCAGCTTTGAATATTCTTTTCACATGCACATCTATCCCTTGTGTGATTTTTATGTTCATGTACGCACATACACATATTTTAAAATGCTCACCAATTTTTTCACTTGACGCAGAAGATGGAGGAAGCAAGTGGCATGTAAGGGTTAGAAACCGTGCTGCACAAAAGGCTTTACAACCATGGTACAGGAACAATATGCCTGGAAGACTCACAGATTGCCCTTCTGGTTTGGAAGCACTTTGCCAACACCAGGGCTTTGTAATCTAATCAAATGCAGCAGTATAAAATGACTAACAACTGTTTCCAAACATTGCTTAAAAGGGAATTTCATTTAGCACCCTTAAAGAAAAAAAATGTATGCGTTTTCACCTGTTTTCCCCAAATGTCAGGGTTTTCCATTTCAGCCGTCAGAAGATAAAGAGAAAATAACATTCCTCCCTTAAGTTCCTTGGTTTTTCCCAGGCCTTTACAAATCTGCTTCACAACAATGGTCTGGAGATTACACTGTATGTTTGTATTTTGGAAACAAATGATACTGGAGGAAGAACAATCATTTGTTTCCACTGTACCAAGACTCTCCCATTTCAACCATTAAAAACCCAGAGTTGTGGCTAAGGCGATGAACCTTGCTATATCTGAGCATGCCAGTGCACTCTAGCACAAAGGATACAGAGTTCATTTTCTAAGCACTTTACCTTCTCCACCAAGTGACCAAAAACACTTGCTAACTTCTTCAACGTCCGCAAGTTTTAAAACCATTTTAGTGAAAACCAAGATATGCAGGTTACTTGCACTGGTAGACAGCATCTTGAGAAACTGTAATGCAAAATGCTTTTTAAAAGTCACAATAATACCCCTTCAGAAACTGCAGCCACACGCTACATCTCTGTTGAGATTAGACATTCAAAGACAGGCATAGGCAAACTCAGCCCTCCAGATGTTTTGGGACTACAACTCCCATCATCCCTGACCACTGGTCCTGTTAGCTAGGGATGATTGGAGTTGTAGTCCCCAAACATCTGGAGGGCTGAGTTTGTCTATGCCTGCTCTCTAAGAAGATGCATCCCCCTCATCTGTTATTTTGTGTTAGACATGATCATACCAGGAAATGAATGACTGGTTACAGGATCAACCCCCCTCTGCTAATATCCAAAGGCCATGATGTTCTACACTTTTCTACAGAATGCTCACAACATTGGTTTTTTTTTTACTTCAGTCTTAGTTGTATGTGGATTTCAAATTATTTCTCCATTTGGAACAAGGTCCCTATACCAGCTGAAAATCATTACCTGTGTCATTGCAACAGCTTGGCAAGCAGCTCCAAGTTGTTACCAACAACATAGCAGTGCAATTATGTGCTGCAGTGCTTGGAGCCCCACCACTGTTATGTACCTATGTATAAAAAAGCGGCCTATGCTTTTATGGAAATATGAAGTAATATAATATAGCCACCAGTGCTTATAGTGCATTTCCTTATTTTATCTGACCAGCTGACTCAAGTCAAACTTGGAGTTCCACAAAACCTGAAAGATGAGAAGTTTCTGCTTAGCAACAAACTATATGTTTCCAGTTTACCATCAACCATTACCACTGTAATGGTTTTGCCATTACAGTAGTACCTCAGGTTATGAACAGTCCTGCTTACAAACGCTTCAGGTTACGAACTCCACAAACCCGGAAGTAGGTGTCCCGGGTTGCGAACTTTGACCCGGGATACGAACGCAATCCACTTCCGGGGCCGCAGGCCTATGAAGGGAATGCGTGCCTCGGGTTAAGAACGCTTCAGGTTAAGAACGGACTTCCGGAACTAATAAGTTCGTAATCCAAGGTACCACAGTATCCGTAAGTGGTAGGGAAAGATGGGAGTCTGAAAGCTAGTGTGTGCTCATGTAATGGTTTGTCATTACATCTGAATGCATCCACTTTCTTGCAGGTTTTATACTGCTTCAAAAACCTGCAAACCCTATCTGACCAGAGAATATATCAGAACTAAATAAAGTACTGTATTATTATTCTTACCATAAGATACCAGGGCAGGTTACAATATTAAAACACAGTATTAAAAGCGGCTTAAAGCAACTTACAATCACAAAAATAAGGTGTTAAAGCCATCCTGATACTTTCATACCACTCAGCTCCAAAGAAACAGGCAGGAACGGGGGATGCGAGAGGTGAGCCAGGTAAAATCTGTAAGCTGGGGTGGCAAGCCTGTGGTCCTCTAGATGTTACTGGACTAAAATTCCCTGCATCAGTGATTGCTGGCCATGCTGGTTGTGGCTGATGTGAATAACAACAACAACAATAATAATCACAATAATAATTTATACCCCAGCCACTCTGGGCAGCTTCCAACAAAATATTAAAAATACAATAAAACATCAGACATTAAAAACTTCCCAAAACATCAGGAAGGTTACAGGCTAGCCATCCCACCTTAAAGTCTTTTCAGCCAGGGCAGAAGCCAAGGCAGCTACAACTACAGTGTAGTCATATGGACCCGACAATTTGCAGCTCACACCACTTAGCTGAAACCGACATGAAAAAGTTGAGCTGGACTCATGCACCTTGCATATAATGTAGTTGAACTGCTGATGAACATTACTCTTATAGCCTACTGCCACAATATCGCCCTACCATAGCCTTACCCAACCTGGTGCATAGGGAAGCCTTATACGTAACTTGCACTGACTGAGGCTGAGGGAATTTATGGCCAAAAACCTATGAAGTTTGAGGAAGGCTGTTCTATAACTAGGTCTCCCTGAGACCCTTAACAAAATTATTTCTTGTTGTGTTTCAAAGTTATTGTTCTCACCATGACAATGAACAGTTCAGCTTCACAAACAAGCCCACAAAATTTACTAGCCTACAAGAAATTTTATTAGCATGATGGGGGCTGGCAGAGGAGGCACAGAGAACTCCATCCCTCCAGTAGCAACCCACTGGACTAGGAATTTATGTTCTGGAAGGTTTTGTTGCTTGTTGCTGAGGACAGACGGAATACCTGATCCACCCTCCATCTACATGGAACTCCTGGTTGCCCAGGGCTACCAGGCAAGTGCTTAAATACAAGGTTGGCATAGTTCACCATAGGTCACTCTCAGACAGATAATACTAGAGTTCATTGTTCTTTGTCAAAGTCACAAATGTAACAGGTTATAGCACTGTGTACAAGTTAGAGAAAGATATGCCTTATAAAATAATTAGACTCGACATAAGCAACAAGCTTATTTTTCTTGATCTAACTAAACTCAACAAGATTGATTTTTTTAAAAAATGACAGCGGTGGTTTAGGGTTAAGTATCACATTATCATTGCTTAACATATTCTTTGAACTTTGACAAACAGAGTTTATCAAAGATATTACATATGGATGAGTAATCCTGTCAAACTAAATCAACAGGCACTTTTAAATTTTTACTCGTTCTCGTCTCTCGTTGTAATTATATATTGAAAACCAATAACAGAACATTAAAAGAACTTTCACAAAGTGAATTTTGAACCACCACCCACATTCTAATACTCATTAGCTGCATGGACTAAATGCCATTTATTAAATATACAAACTCAGGTAGGTGAAATATATTTGAGGAAGAGTTTATCACAGAAAGTGAAGCATCCCACCCCCACTCTGATTTCTGTGAAATGAACCATGGAATCCCATTTTAAAAGATAAAAGGCTTAACAACAGGTGGGTTGTTTTCTTCCCAAATCTGTATGCACAATGCTTTACGTTAAGGGAAGACAGCATGATTCAGTATCTTGCTCAACATCTAAAAAGGAGGAAATTCTAAACACGCACATTACAAAATACTAACTATAACTGTGCAACCAAAGTGTAGAATTGGAGTGCACAGAGGTGGGGGAAGAAAGAAACTATCATTCTTCAACACAGTTAACAGTGAAGTCACACCAAAAGAATCTACTATGAAATCAGTCAAGTAGTATTCAATATGGAGCTGTCACATGAATCAACCACCATGCAGTACCCGGATCATTCTTGATCAAATAGGTTAGAAAGATTTAAGTTATCAACTTGACTAAACTCTGCTTAGCTTAGGATAAATGTTTCTCAGAGTTATTCGTTACTTGCTGCTGTGCAATTTCACCCAGTTAATAAAAGCTGCTTCAGGCTCATAAAAATCAAAGGTTATGTTTGTTCAAATGTTACAAGTTTAAAATTAACTTGAAAGACTGTAATTTAGCCCAGAAAAGACAAGTACACTCAGATGAGAGGGCTGCAAGCAGCAATTACATCTTCAGGCAGACAGTACCTCACTCTAAAAATCGACACACTAGAGGAATTCTTGTATAGCTCTTGTGGTATGTGGTACTATTTCCATGATGAATTATTTCTAAACTCCTCTGTATGTGAGCTACTCCATTGGAAGCAGAAGGGATAAAATGAAAGATACAAAATCCTCTTGACTATATATAGCCACAGAGCTACATAAGCTGGTTGGTTGGAGCCCCAAACTACTCCTTACCTTCCTGTGGCAAGCGTAATCTTTTCTTTCACTGGTTTTTTCCCTCCACACTGAGTAGTTCTACTCAACTCTGTATTATTAAAACCAAGCATCACCTTGAGCAACAAGTTTTACAAACCCTGTGTTTAATGGACATAATCACAGGGAAGTATGAACAGGATTGCAGCCTCAAGGAATTAAGAAATATCAACAGTAGCAACTTTTAGTCAGAATTCATACAGGAATTATGCCAAGCAGAGGGGAATGAGAAGATAAAAGCATTCCCTTAAACTTAAAAACAGAGGGGGGAAATAAGCAACAAGCACACAAACAGAAGTTTTTGCCCCTTTCTTAAATCATCTTTACATGAAACATTGCCAACTCCCATGCAAGCTGGCCCATGAAATGAGAAAATTACATTGAGATCCTTCAGCAGGTATCCCATCTTCAGAGTTTAGGCGGGTAGCAACCAGTGAGGGGTTCTTTTTTCTGTGAAGGCAGACATATTGTAGAACTTTCTTCTCAGCATATTTGCCTGGTGGTCAGCTATCTTTTTAGACAACAGACAGACTGCCCTGTTCTGCCATGTTTTTAGTTATATTTAAGATCCCTTTTTTAGGGTTTTTTTATGTGCTCTGTTTGTTGCCTTTACTGGCATTTAATTTTGATATGGAATTTTATTGTTTTTATGATAATTTGCATAAGCCACTTTAAGATAATTTATGTTGAAAGGAGGGATATATCCTATAAACAAATATAGGGCCTCCTGGTGGGAGCAACAATTGACAAACACTTAACTAACTGCCATAACCTGTAAGCTAGTTGGGGTAGGAAGTTTTTGTTAGGCATTTGTACAGTGCTGAGCACAAGAGTATGTGAACCAACGTCTTGATAAATAATGCTGATAATGCAAGAGAGCCAAAGGAAATTGGAAACAGCAACCCCAAGTTTCTAATCTATCACACTGGAGAAAGTTTGGCTGAGGTGGGTGTATCTAAAGTGGTCCCTGCTCTGCTCACTGAAAGTCCAAGCGGGCAGTATCCACACCAGCAGTAGCCAGTATAAAGCTCTAAAACAGCTTTCAAGAGTGGGCAGAGCTGGGAAAACCAAGGATCTGTTGGGTCTCAAGACAGACAAGCAAGCTGCAAATTCCAGTGCCGGGGGCGGGGAAATAATATGGGTCCATTTGCTGGTGTATGAAAACAACCTACTTCTGGGGGGCTGGTGCACATGGGGAGGCTGAGAATGACACAGTGACTACACCATCAGTTAAGCCCAGTTGTTGCGAAATATGTTAACAGACAGTGTCAATTCAAATATCGAACTTTGCAACAAATATTAAACACATGGAGGATTATGGGTATACTGAGATCATTTCTCAATCAATATATTTTCAGCTTCATGGTTTCTGTGAACTTATAGAAGAATCCAGTAATGTACGTCAGATGCTCTGTGTGGTTTCAAGGTCAGAGTAGGTCTAAAAATAAGCAAGCCTTTTAAAGCCAAGATTGATGTACATGAAAGCACTGTTGTCTTCACTTAGAACTGACGTTATTCATTGAACAAATTTTACCTACATTCTGCCCTGAAGTTAGTATAGGGTTCTTTTTATACAACAGCAGAGAGCCATTCTGAGCTGTCTTAATCAGTGTTACAGGCATTGCTATCTGAAAAGTGACCCAAATCCCAATCACATGTCTTCTGAAAACTTTTTTTTATGAAGCTTTTGGTGCACTGGTACGCATTGTGTCTTGGATTTCAGAGTGTTATTTTTGGAGGGGCAATTCTTTTCCCCAACTGTGATTCAGCATTCCTATTATAGGTAGGATGAGGAACTTAGCCCTCCAAATGTTGCTGGATTCCAGATCCCATAAACTCTAGTCGTTGTCTAGTGGCAGAGGCTGATGGGAGTTGGAGTCCAACTACATCTGGACAGCTATAGGTACTGCAACGCTGCTATATGCCAACAGCAGACAAGAGCACCTTACTTTCATTTACAACATATTTGCAAACCTGTAAATACAAACTATGCCAGGAACAGAAATCAAACCTGTGATATACATTATCCAATATTACCTAAGAGATGTATGTCAAAGTAAATGACTAAATTTGAAAACACTCACAGTATCCCACTATCAATGTAACTGTGTGTACAGAAATGTTAAATGCTCTGTTTCACACATTCCTCTGCTCAATTACTATGAAACCAAGGCTTCTTTCTCTTGTGATAGATAACACAGCAACTGTCTTGTAAAGTTTTCACTGCAGAGAAGTATCTGTAAATCACAATTATTAAAGCACCAACATATTTTGATGGATTAAAACACTGTATATGGTCTCTTTAAATATCAACATTCACAATGAACACTGTAACCACCAAAAGTTCACAAAGTGTCATTACATATATGGAAATTAATTTAGAAAACGTTCTCTTCACAGAGGTCTCTAAAAGTAAGCTTTGCTTCTGACTCTACAGAAGTTTCCGCTGGGTGTTTCACCAGGTAGTGCAAGATGCTGATAGCAGGAAGAATTCAAGTCATACTTCCTTTGCCATTTCTAACATTGATTAAAATACAATTCCTGAAAGTTAGCGTTCTTGAGAATTATATTAACAATATCATGTTTTGAGAAGCATTACACAAGAGCTGCACTTTTAGGCGGAGTGAGCATGTGTGTTGCTCCCTGCCCACAAGCAAGGGTGGTGCAAAATATTGTGTGACTGCCCATCCCACATTTTTTTACTGGCAGTTTTGAGACTTACTATGGCTTTTGTGCTTGAAACAAGTTAATTTAAAGGAATGCCATGATCTCAAAACGGTACCTGGTACATGTAGTAACCCCCCGCCCCACCAACCCTACCCTAGCTGAAATATCAAGTTTTTACTTCCTGCAAGAAGTTCCTTTTCCTCCACCACTTCACTAAGACTTGGTGAGGGGGTGGGGGGAGTAGAATAGTTTAGATAGCCTAGCTATTTCTAAAAATGGGAATAGGCACTGCCACTCTTCTAAATGCCGATGGAAGTTCAGAGGTTGCTCCAAATCAGCAAGGGCAGGCTCAGACAGTCATGCGCTTCCACCAAAGGTTGAATATGAGTTGTTCACAGATAAGATCTGCAAGTATTACAGCTTAAGAGTGTGGTGCTGGGAAAGGAAGAAAGAGATCCTCCGAAGGAAAAGGAAAAACCGAAAGCATATGAAAGCATATGGGCCCTAGTAGAGACGTTAAGTTCTATGGGGAGTCAAAGGGCCAAGATCCCCAAGAAGTAGCAAAAATATCACTCTTGTGGGGAGAGTCAACTACAAAGAGGTCGAAATCCCACTGGAAGGGAAAGACCAGGTCGTGAGCACGGGCAGGTACATGTATCAGTTACAGCCAAGTGAAACGTAAGAAGTTTCGGCGAGAACGACAAACTGCAAAAGAGGGCGAGGAGGAGGAAAGAGCAGGCGCAGGGGGCAGCACGGGAGGGATCCTGTGTAGGACCGGGGTCGGGGAGGGTGGGCAGGAGGGCTAGCCGGTGAGACCCTAATTCGGGGTGGGAGCAAAGGTGGACGTTACAGAAAACGTGGCTGGGCAGACGGAGGATAATGGGAAGGGAACTGGATCAACGGAACGCGATCGAGGAGTAAGGGCGTAGTAAGAGTTTAGCAAGAGTTTAGTAAGAGTGGGGGCGCGCGGGCTGAGGGGCAGCCAGACAAGACACACAGATGTCCCCCCCCCGACACCCCATAATACTCACGCCTTGTCCACCAGCTCCCGGACTTTCCACATATTGAGCATCTTGGCCGTCGTCGTCGTCGTCGTGGCGGCGCGGAGAGCTTCCCCTCCCGGCCTAGGCCCCTACTAGCGCGTCCCCGGTCTCCTCCTCCTCCGCCTCCTCCTCCGCCAGGAGTCCGGCTAGCTGCTTCTCCGCCGCGGCAGCGCCAGGCCCGTCTCGCCTCGCAGCACCACCTCAGCTTAGCCAACGGCACAGAGACGGCGAGAGAGAGAGAAGCGATCGGTCCTGCCCCCCGGAAACCGGCAGCGCTGGGCCGCAAGGCCTGCTGGGACAAGAAGTCCGGCCGAAAGGCGGCCGGGAACGCCGGGCCTCGTTGAGTGAGAGGGGCGGGGGGGAGAGGGATTCCGCTGCGCAGCATGCTGGGAGATGTAGTCCTGGGAGAAGCTTCTTAGAGGGCGGTCCCCTCCGCATGGCTTGCTGGGAATTGAAGTTGTTTCTTTTTGGGATCTTGCTCTAGACCGCAGTTGGATTTACTGGAAGAGGAGAAGAAACGGTGGAGGAGGCTTCTGCAGAGGAGGAGTTGAACTTCTGTAGGCCAACGCTTGTCCTGTACAAACCAGTGCGAGAAGAAAGGAGAATAATCTTTCCTGAATTGTATTTCAGTTTCATAGTTGCTGAATAGTTAATTGATCTGAAGCTCTCTGCTGCAACCATGCTAGCTAGAATCTCAATTCTAAAAACTCATGTATTGTCTCTATTGAGGCATAAAACTGCAGCAACCACACTAATGACAATCTAGAAAAACCAGGAGTTGCCCAACAAATGTAGGAAGAGCTGGATCAGGCCAGTGGCATACTGAGTCCAGCATTCTGTTCTCAAACTGGGCAACCAGATACCTGCGGGGAAACTTGCAATAGGATGGGAACACAAGACCACTCTGCCTTTCACTGCTTTCCAGCGACTGATATTCAGAAGCATTGCCGCCTCCAACTGGAGGCAGAGTATAACCATCGTGGATAGTAGCCATGTATAGCCTTATCCTCCATTTCTAATCCTCTTTTGCAGCCCTCCAAGCTGGTGGCCATCACTGGCTCCTTTGGGAATGAGTTCCATAGTTTAGTTATGTGCTGCATGTGTAATAGTTGTGGCGCATGGGGATTATTTCTCTCATCATTACAGGTGGGAAATGTTACCATGTATGCAGTCCATATATTGCTAATTCTATATAAGCAGAGGTAACCTAAAGTTATATGCTTATGAATTGGCCAAGCCAGGTAGGGTGTTTTTTGTGAGTGAGGATCTCTACCAAAGATTGAGCTAGAGAAGGTTCAAAACATTATATGAAATGTAATCACTTCCCCAACCAGTCACCTCCCATATCTTTGGCAATGGAGATGTGACAGGCACGTTTCTGGAGTTGTATTTAAAGACTGATGGCATGTCAGGGAACATATTTGAAGAGGGTTCCTATTTGTGCCTTTTATAGGAAATTTTCAGCTTTTAAATTTTTTAGTAAGCAGAGTATCAGCTTAAAATGTTTCATTTATTGTGTTTTCACTATTTCTCTAAGCTATTTCACTTGGCCTTTCCCTGTTCTTCAACATTTTGTCTGGATTGATACCAAGAAAAAAGAAGAAAACCTACTTGAGGTAGTCATAACGCTATCAAGGAAATGATGTTCACAGCTGCAATGCATATATTAGAGAGCTGTGTTGGTATTTACAATGGCACTAATAACACTGAAACTATCTTTGTTCCCAAAGGATTCACACTTCTCATGTTGGATTTCAATAATGCTGGATGAGTCAAGTTTCAGAATGCCCCCAACTAATCAGTGTTAAACTGAGAATACAGATATTTCTGGGATTCAGAGCAACTATTTATTCTTTTTCAAAGTACATAGGGTTAGCATCTATTATTTCATTTCACACTAGATGTGAACTGGGAGCAATTCAGGGGACATAGAGGTAGGTAAATAAAACTTGATAGAAAAGTGAGGGGGGTTATCCTCCTCCATTCCTTCTGTAGTCTCTTTCTGTCAACATTTAAATTGCACTTCCATAACTTTGGTGGACTGTGACTTTATTTTGGAAGTTGTTTAAACATTTCCCCTTGTCGTGACTATCAGATGAGAAACGTGATGGTCACAAAGATCACCACAAATCAGAATCCTGGTCCTTAAAGCTAAAGCATAACATTGATTGGTTCAAGCAATGCAAGAAGGAGGAGGAAGAAAAGGGTGAAATTGATGTTGGCACATGTTAGAGATGGGTGGAAGGGAGAAGCGAACTGTATGGGTTTGCTGAACTTCAAAAGGCACTAGGCTATTCAAGAAACGGTTTCAAGAAAATCTAAATAAGCGAGTTCCATAAGAAAACCAGAGATTAAAACCTGGGCATTGTCAGGATCATATATGCTGTACATGCACAGCCTCCTTTTCTTCTCATGAAATCGCAAACAAATGGAAGGGAAGGCTATGGGGACTCAGGCATTAAAACTATCTCAAGAGAATATTGGCTCATCCTACTTGACAACAACACGTTGTATGATTTGTCTTCAGCTATTACACAGCTATTCAGGAGTACTAAGCAGTTTTTATAACTACTCTCTTATGATATAATGAACAGTGCAGAGTTCATACTCATAAATCCTTTCTCTACCTAAGTTTCTCATCCAAACATGACTTCATCTTTTTATACCTCATTATTCCTCAAACTTTTTCAAAGGAGAACCAGGGAGTCATCATGAAAACTGGATCTCTTTGTATATTTCCTGGTTTAATGTATGGGATTTCACCTGCTAGAGTTGCATAAGCATTTGTTCATGTTAATTGCTGATCATGATGTGCCTTAACTACTTCATCCCACATAACAGCCCTCCTGACACTCATACTGAGCACACTGAAGGCTAAGGAATATCTTGCAACATCACTGAATGTTCAAGTCTTGGCTTGCGTATCTGGTCTCTGAAGCTCTCACCATTCTTTAAAATAATTAAGGATGGGTGTGGTGGGAAAGAAGTTTGGGTAGGTTTTACTAGGTACCTCTGAAGGTAACGACTGGGTTAGTAATGATGAAAAACTACACTGTCCCTTATAAAACAGAATAAAAATAAAATCAATTAGAATGCAGCTCAAACTGCACATTTCTGCTGATTTAACCCTAATATTCAAGTCAGCATAAACAGATAGTATCTCAACCCCCCCCAATGCTCAGCCTTTGACTGAAAAGGAACCCCATAACTAGATGGGAGCTGTCCAGATGTGGTTTAAGGATAGTGCTACAAAGAGGGCACCTTTGGTGAATCTTAGAGTTTGCAATGAGGCATGGAGGGAGAGGAGGCATTCTCTAAAAAGTGTGTTGCGTTTACATCCTAACCTCATCATTACAGGTGATTAAGGAAATATAGCAATACAAACATTTGGAATAAGCTCCTGGATCCCATGCCCTACAGTAAGTAACTCAGGCTTGAGTTTACGTAAGGGATACAACTGCATATCACTTCCTTGTTTGCTTCCCGGTTCAGCCTTGCCTTCACTTCTGTGTCTGGATTCTTTGGTGTGTATGTATAGCATAGTCTTACAAAACACATACATCACCACAGCAACAACTATAAAAAAACACAGACACAGATTAAGAGAGATAGTATTCTGTTGCAGACCTACAAACAACCCTGAACTTAAATCAGATGCAACTAGGGCCAGAAGTATTTTTCTTTTCTTGGGGGGGGGGAGTTGAAGGTGGGGGGAAGGAAGTGACCTATTTGTTCACTATTACTATTGTTTACTTCCCTCCCTGCCCCTTTTGCCATTTGTGTCATTTTTTGTGTGGAAAGCAAGCATGTTTGGAGGGGCTGATTGGTTTGGACTGTATGAACCACTCTAGGAGCCCTTTTGCCTGAAGAATGGAGTACAAATGAACTAAATAAAATAATAAAATAAATGAATACCAAAAACAGAAATAAGCAACAATATTTTAAAGAGCCAACTTTTAAAAAACAAGATGCAAGGGGCTGAATTTTAGGGGAGAACATTTCTAGAATGCAGCCTTTGGCTCTTGCGTCATGGTAACTAAAGTTGAGAGAGCGTTGCATGAGTAAAGGCCCTAGCAGAGGGGAATTGATCAGTGAAAATTTGCAGAGGAGTGCATGGTAGGGACCCGATTAGAAGACTGGGATCTAGGGGACCATTTTTAAATACAGTGGTACCTCGGGTTAAGTACTTAATTCGTTCCGGAGATCCGTTCTTAGCCTGAAACTGTTCTTAACCTGAAGCACCACTTTAGCTAATGGGGCCTCCTGCTGCTGCCGCGCCACCGGAGCACGATTTCTGTTCTCATCCTGAAGCAAAGTTCTTAACCCGAGATACTACTTCTGGGTTAGCAGAGTCTGTAACCTGAAGCGTATGTAACCTGAAGCGCATATAACCCAAGGTACCACTGTACACTTTTTACAATGGTATTGAACATGCCTTTGGTAACAAATGCAATTATACCACGCTCAGCACTGGTTGTTGACACTCTGTGGTTGACAACAGGTGATCATTTTGTAAATATAAAAGGGTCATATTCAACATCACACTCTTCCAGTCATTCCATTGGCACAAGCATTTCCTTCTGCCCAACAAAACGACCTCTACTCCTGCTGTGTGCTGTTCTGTGATTAAAATAAATATTAATATTAACACTGAAATTATTACAGAAGGGTGGAAATGATTTCTGTCTGTGAGTCAGAGAAATTTTCTAGAAACTAAGAAAAAAGAGCTGAAACTGAAAAGCAGCCATACTCACGGTGTAAGTATATTTAAGACTAGTTACTGCGCATGGGTGCAGTAATGGGACAAAGGAAGGTGAAGAGTGTGTGTTGTCAGTCATGCAATGCAGCAAAAAAGGGGGAAAAGCAAGTTCCTTCATGAGACTTAATGCTATGCGATTGATGATCATCCAGGCAGCGTCCTTCTGTCAAGTCTATGTAGTATGCATGAGTATATGTATAATTTCTGCATGATGTAAGAAGCCTTTCAAAGGCATAAATAGCTTATTTGGAACCAATGGAATAAGACTTGACTGGTGTGAAACTGAATTGACATCTTAACTAATAGCAGTACAAGTTGTGTTGGAATGATGTATCATGAAAAGAAATAATACCTTATTCTAAGAAAAGAGTATAGTTATTTTTAAATAAGGAAATGTGTATAAGTGTGTGGAGGGGGGTGGGTTACAGCTGACTATGACAGTTCAATGCACTGGTAAAATATCTGCCTATGGAATATATTAAGTGTTGCACTTAAATTGATTTGACCCTATTAGCACCAACCGCAAACAAATTCAAGTCAATATTATTATTTAAAAGCAAAGGAGGGACTGATGA